TCTTTTTATGCGATTTTTTTAGATTTTATACGTTTATGCCAAAAGGGCATTCTAAATTTACAAAATTTGTCAAGATCTCTACAGCCAATCTGGAGATATAAGCATTCTAGCTAACATCCCCTTCCTTTGTATATATACATTGTTTATATTTCGCTATATATATCCGACATTTTTACTATCGGCATCTACGTAACGGTCAGAATTAACCTGTTCGTCTATTTGTGATTTCGCCGGCATTAAAAGAAATGGAAAATTTGACTTTTATTTATTACAAATGCTATGGTCTATTTTAACCACTAAATATTACCCGATGACCACCAAAATTGGAAGGCTTCTGCCAATGCTCTAGCCCCATGATAACTTTCGTTTCGATTGGTCTATAATTGTGACCTGTAGAGCAACTGCAAAATCAGGAAATTTTTCAGTTTTTGGTCCATTTCAACCCCTAAATATTATGCAATCATCTCCAAAAGAAATAGGGTTCTATTCTGACCTTAACCCCACCTACATTTTAAATTTCGTGAAGATCGGGCCATAATTGCGACCTGTAGAGTGATTACAAATTAACATGGACAGATGGACGGACGGACATACATAGCTAGATCGACTCAGATAGGAAGATCCATATATACTTTCCTATGTTAGAAATCAATATTTCGTGATGTTACATAATTTTTGGCCCAATCAAACTTATAATACCCTCAACACAGTGTTGTTGGGTATAATAAACGTATGTGCAAAATTTTATCTTAATATACCCTCCATAGTATGGTGGAGGGTATAAAAGGCGAACTTCTGCCTTTGGTGTATTTCGGATATCGCCTGTAAGTAAGTAAGTGGTCCACAAAAGTAGTTAACCCATTCTACCGGCTGTACTGAACTATGACTTCATGCGAGATTTCGTGTCCTTTGGTTTCTATATGCAAAATCAGAAACATTTTTAATTGTTGGTCCCCTAAATATATATTGCGGACATCTTTGAAAACAATAGGTCTAGCCATTTTGATCCGAACCCTACCATTGTGAAAAATTTCGTAAGAATTGGACAATAATTGCAATCTGTATAGAATAACCTTTAATATTATAAGTCAAATTTCAAAAATAGCATGCGATAAAAAATATGAAGAAATAAAAAATGTCAGAAAATACTACAAAATCTCTATCATTATCGGCATCTTATTGTGCGATTTTTTAGATTTTATACTTTTATACTGAGAGGGCATTCTGAATTGACAAAGTTTGTCAATTTTGTCAAGCATTCTAGCTAACATCCCCTTCCTTTGTATATTTACATTGTATATATTTCGCTATATATATGTCCGATATATTTACAATCGGCATCTACGTAATGGTCAGAATTGACCTTTTCGTCTATTTGAAATTTCGCCGGGATTAAAAGTATTCGCGGTTTAATGGAAAATTTGATTTTATTTAACAAGCCCTGAGTTTTAGCCCCATGCTGACTTCCGCGTCGATCTATAATTGCGACCTGTAGAGCAACTGCAAAGTTATGAATTTTTTCAGTTTTTGGTCCATTTCAACCCCTAAATATTGTACGATCATCTCCAAAAGAAATGGAGTTCTATTCTGACCTTAACCCCACCTCCATTTCGAATTTCGCGAGGATCGGTTCATAATTGCGACCTGTAGCTTGATTACAAATTAACATGGACAGACGGATGGACGGACATACATAGCTAAATCGACTCAGCTCTGCAAGATAGGAAGATCCATATATACTTTCCTATGTGGGAAATCAAAATTTCGAGGTATTACACAATTTTTGGCCCAATCAAACCTATAATACCTCCAACACATAGTGTTGTAGGGTATAGAAAGCCAGCAGTTTGCCTTTTTATGTGATTTCATACTTTTATTCCAAGAGGGCATTCTGAATTGAAAAAAATCGATGACCATTAACATTGGAAGGCAACTTCTCAGCCCTAAATTCTGGCCCCATGCTAACTTCCGCTTCGATTAGTCTATATGAAAATCTCCTTGAAATTTTCGGTACTGAAGCAGAATTTTGTGTTCCATAATAGTTTGAAAACATATATTCCAGAAGCCGGATCTTATCTTTTTCAACAAATCTCGGTTTTTTATGATTCATCCCTCTGTGGAATATGTACATCAACTATAGTATTAGTTAGTTAAATGTCAGTGCTGCCACAACACTTTCACGCTACGAAGTATATTCTGCCACAAACATAAATATCCTAAAAGTTTAATATTAAACTGATATAAACTTACAGTGCCATCTTTCGTAAATAATATGCAGTTAATACGGTGGAAGTTGTCTACAATAAATTGCTAGCAGAGACACACACCATCATCAGTGAGTTTCGTAAAACATCGTCTTATCACCAGGTGGTGCATACACTCATATAACGTTAATAACGACCGACTCAACGCACGTTTCCGGTACATGCATTGACTAAAAAAATTATAATAATAACGACATAATTTCTCGCTAGATGGAACTATAAACGGGGAAGGAAACTAATACAATAGACATAGGTCTTTGGCTAATAATACGTTAAAAATATCTATCAGTTTTGCCTTGCCTTGCGTTATGATTATCCAAACTGTGGACGCTTTATGCGAACTGTTCCGGAGGAGTGGGCCAATATTGTCCCTTTTGTATCTGACCTAAGTCTTATATAATATTACAACATGCCAGATTTGGACTATATCGGCTACTTCCCACACATTTGTGATAATTTTTATGAATATGATAATTTTTATAAAATATTGAAGTATGCATGAATAACCATATAAAACGAACCGAAGTATTCCACTTAATCTAATGCATATACAAATATTGGTATGTGTAAAATTTAAAGAAAATCTTATATTTATTTCCAATTTATGCGAATAATGAAAATGTTCAACTTTTGTGGGGCAGGTACCAGAAGGAGTTGACCCATAAATTGCATATTCACATCACATCTCTGGTTGAGAAAAATATTAAGACAGGCCAAGTTTGGGAAGATTCGTTGACTTGTACCGGAAATTATGAGAGATATAAATATTGGAAATTGTGATTCTTCGTGAGGAGAGTACCAGCAACGGTGTGCCGACATGCGTCATCTTCACACCAGATCTTGTGTAAGTATAGATATGAAATTTGCAAAGTTTAGAAGGATTTCGGTGCCTATTTCGCATTTTGTGAGATCTGTAATTATTCAAAATTGTGTCCCCTTTTTTGGGGGAATCGATGCATCCTATCTTTAAACCAGATTTTCGTTAGTAGAAATATGTGTGAAATTTAAAGAGAATTTAAAGCTTTTTCAAAATATTAACCCGTTGTAGGGGACACCGGGAGGAGTAAACCAATATATTCCATCTTTACACCAGAGCTTTTATGAATAAAAATATGGGAATGGATGAAATCGGACTTTTATTTCACATTTTATAAGTGTTATGGTTATTAAAAATATTGACCCGTTGTGTGGGAAGTACATGATGGAGTGGGTCGATATTGTCCATTTTTCCATCTGAAATAGCACTGATACAAATATTGGGATTTGTAAAATTTGAAACAATTGGATGACCTTTTCTTCTTCTATACGGAAAATTATTCTCTATAAAAATGTTGACCTTTTGTTGTGGAGGTATTAGAAGGAGTGGAGCGACATTGCCCATCTCCGAGTTAGATATAAGTTTGACAATAATATTACAACGTTCGAAGTTGGGATCACATCGGATACTTCCTTCGAGAGTTATCATGAGCACCAGCCAGACGGACATCGGTAGATCGATTCTAAATATCCTGAAACGAATTTGATCCAAAGAGACCTAGGGTCTAAACCGTTATTTCGAAGATGCATAGTTTGGTCGATTGATTTGCGTCTGACTGTCTGTTGTAATCATGCTATCTTTCGAACGAATTGAGATAGAAGGCTAAAATTTTGCACACATGTTTATTTTGCCAGGAGGCAGGGCCATGTCGGTTCACTTTTTCATATTGCCCCCACATAACGGTACCTCCGGATATTCGGGATTTTGATGATTTTAGATTTTAGGAAGTGTTTCAAATGTGGTATTTGAAGCTCAAAATGGATACTACAGCCTAAGACGGAAAATTGTCTGTGCAGGTGCACGTCTTTGTATAGCTCCCATATAACGATCCCTCCCGATATTCGCACTTTGTTGATTTTTCAAATTTGGTATTTTATATTCGTAGTGGACACTACAGCGTATGACGGATAATTGTCTGCAGGTTCACGTCTTCGTATAGCCCCAATATAATGGTACTCCCCGATATTCGGTATTTTGATGATTTTAGCGACATTATTCACCGGAAGTGTTTCAAATTTGGCATTTGAAGTTCGAAAAAGATACTACAGCCTGTGACAGAAAATTGTCTGTGCAGGTCCACGCCTTCGTATAGCCCCATATAACCGTACCTCACTATATTCGATATTTTGATGATTTTAGCGTCATTATTCACCGGTGTAGTTTCAAATTACGTATTTAGAGTTTGTAATGGGAACTAAAATCTGTGACAGAAAATTGTGTATGCAGGTCCAGGTCTTCGTATAGGCCCCATATATCAGTACCTCCCCATACTCGGTTTTTTGACGAATTTAGATACAATACTCGCGGAAATTGTTTGAGATGTCGTATTTGAAGTTCGTTATGGATGCTACAGCTTATGACTGAAAATGGTCTATGCAGGTCCAGGTTTTCGAATAGCTCCGATATAACGGTATCTCCCTTTATACGGTATTTTGATGATTTTAGCTACATTATTCACCGTTTATTTCAAGTTTCGAATTTGAATATGGTAATGGCTTATGAAAAGCAAAGCCTATGTAGGTCCACGTCCTATAGACCCCAATCTAATCGATATTTTTTAGATTTTAACAGAAATTGTTAATGGATTTTATTTTTTGAAAATTTCCAAATTCGTTCCAAATGGTGGAGGGTATTCAAAGTTCGACCCGGCTGAACATACTCCTTTTTAACTCGTTTCTTTTATTTTATTTTATTTTATTTTATTTTATTAATCAACAGGAGTCTATGAAATTTATTCCATTTTAAATAGAAATACTTCATTGTGAAGTTTTTTTGCGGTTTATTCATTTTCGTGCCTGTTAAGGGCATTATTTGAGGCAACAATTTTCATTTCTTTACCGACGTCATCTTCCTCATCGTCGAACACTTTCAAATGTTTCACATGGTACCATACGCCACCATTGCATATTGTGCTGATAGTTATGAAGAAAATACCCACCACATTTAGACTTAGTCTGAAAATTTTTAGAAATAGATTAGAAAATACAAACCGTAGTAGTTGGTATTCTTACCTCAAATTTGCCGAATCATATAGCCAGCAATTGCCTTTATTCGTACAAGTTTTACCCCAAACTAGACAATTCTTATCGAATATCCAGCCAAAGAGAATGGGACCTGGTACAAAGCACACTAGCGATATGAACATCATGCCGAAGCCCATAAGGGCCGATTTATTCTCTGGAGCCACAGAACGCATGGTGATCAACATATTGGCAGCTCTTCCTGTGGCAGCAAAGAATTTAATGGTACACATTACCACCAGGAATGAAATGAATTGATTGGAACAATTGACGGGGCAAGCTCCAGCCATTGCTTGGCCTCCAGTGCCCAAGGATAACTAGACAAAAAAGATTTGTGATTTCAACAGAAAAAAATTAAAAAAATAAAAATATATATATTGTCGAAATGCCATATAACGAGGTTCGAGGGAAATACAAAATTCGATGATTAAAGAAGATACAAATGTGAGCGCTTTATAAAGTCAATTTTAAAATTCCGCCGTTGTAAATCATTTCGGTTTCATATAACTTACATTATTTCCATTCATTGTGGAATTGTTCAGGTCCGCCATAGTTACCAATTCAAAAAGTGGATTTGTATTTAATGTGTGATTTGACACCGTTGGAATACAGGAACAGTCATAGTAGCTCTAAATTTCAAAATTTATAAAAACGAAAATTAAAAACAAAAAAAAAAAAAAACATTTAAAAAAGCTTTAAGTTCGGCCGGGCCGATCTTTGAATATCCTCCACCATTTGGAAAAATTTTGGTAATTTCTAAAAAAAAAAATAAAATCCGTTAAAAATTCTTTTAAAATCTTAAAAATATCGAATGTAGCCATTATATAAGGGTCTATACGACGACATTGACCTGCATAGGCAACTTTTGTCATAAGCCATTACAATATTCAAATACGAAACTTGAAAAACAAAATTCGCTGAATAATGTAGCTAAAATCTTAAAAATACCGAATATAGGGAGGTACCGCCATATGGGGGAAATACGAAGACGTGGATCTACACAGACAATTTTCTGTCATAGGCTGTAATATCCATTACAAACTTCAAATACCAAATTTGAAACATTTCCGGTGAATAATGTCGCTTAAATCACCAAACTACCGAATATAGGGAGGTACCGTTATATGGGGGCTATACCAAAACGTGTACCTACATGGCCCAAAAGTCCTGCAGACATAATATACATTTGAGTTAAATTTTACTAACCTACTTCATTTCGTTCGGAAGCTAGAGTGATTTCCACAGACGGACGGACATCGCTACATCGATATAGAATTTTATGCTGATCAAGAATGTATAAAGTAGGTTCTAAAATGTATATTTCGAGGTGTTACAAACGGAATGACATACTTAAAATACCTCCGTACTATGGTGGAGGGTATAAAAACTAAATCTCGAAAAATTAATAATTATGTATTTAAAATGGAATCTTGTGACACAAATAATTACCTTAACCCCCTTGGCATCCATATACTCGCCCTTACATCCAGCATGACATGGTGATATGTACGTCCTCTGGTCTTCACCACATACCGGCATATAACGCACATAATCACAATGGCAAACACTATTGCAGCTCAATGTTGTATTCAGAACACTGTGTGGAATAAAAAATCAAAACACCTTCTTAGTTGGAAAACAAAATAATAATAATATTATGTATTTTCACTTATCAATACCTTTCGTTGGGGTTATTTATTAAGGAATTATCATTTGCAGCACAGCCGATAAAAATATAGATAATCATACCGGTCAGTGTTACAATATCGACCAAAATATTCCATGCGGCCAGATAACGTGCGGATGGCTTAAATTTTGATATGACAACGCCGGAGAGTAAAACACCAACAGCTGAGAAGACTAGCGCCACCGTACCGGTAGCCATGCTGGAAATAATATAGAAAATTTAATTAATTAACAATTGGGAAATTTGTATTTTTGAAAAAAAGAAAACAAATAAAATGGTTTTTATATTGGGTGGACATGAACTGTTCTCTTTATCCAAATTAAAACCGATACGGGGTCGTTTATAATATATTGACCCGTAGGGAAAGATAAAGGTCGGACATGACCAAAAATATATTACTCTATACCACTATGCATATTTCGCAGTTTTACCATTGAAAATATAAGTTTTTATTGGAAATTTGTATAAAATCATATCGTAATTCAGTAACTAAATAGAATTCGAAATCTGATAGAACAGATGTATTTTAATATGAATCGATTTTCACTAAATTTGAGGGCGGTATTATTTTTTGCTGTATCTAACCTCGGTAGAAATATGGGGGATTGGAGCTGTAGATATATCTAAATCACTTTGGTCCAAATTTGGCAGAATAATATATTATATATTATTTTATAAAAATTATATAGGGGTATATTTTGTATAAAATATTTATGAAAAATACATTTATATATTTATTATTTAATTATTTTAGGGGTATAATTATTTATTTTATTTTTTATTTATTTCGGAGACCAATATTTCGAGGTTTACATAATTTTGACCCATTCAACTTATAATAACCACCAACGCATAGTGTTATAGGGTATAACAAGCCACCAACAGGGACCCATATACCAACATTTCAAATTACCGGCTTCTAATTACTCCAAACATTTCCAAATCCACCAGCTTTATCAACCCCATTTCAAAGAATCGATTCTTATACCAAATTTCAAGATTTTACCACACTTTCCAAATTTAGTGCATTTTAAGAATTTTGATACAAGTTTTGTTAGAATTTCGAAAACCCCCATAGTTTGTCCATCTACCAAAACATCAAAGACTCTCACTGCAAATTTAAGATTTCCGGCTCTATTTCTTCCCCAAACACCAAAGTTAATACTATTTATTACTTTTCGTAATTTTTAATTCGTATTTTCAAATTCACCGCCATGTCTCCTCCTAACCGAACAAAAAGTGATACCAATGTTAAATTTTTGACTTCCAATTAAATTCCCTAAATAAACACGAAATTAGTACTTTTAAGTATATACTTTTAATCTATACTTTTAAGTATAGATTTTCAAAACAACCTCCAAATCTTAATCCTGCACACTAACAGTGATCCTAATGCAAATTTTCAGATTTCAAGCAGTATATGTTCACGCAATACAAAATTTAGTACCTTTCGTACGCTTGCTGAATGCACTTCTAAGCCGAACTCTAGTTTTGGAATGCATACAGGGTTACCCATATTCGACGGACCTTTGGGCACATTATATATGTTCACGCAATACAAAATTTAGTACCTTTCGTACGCTTGCTGAATGCACTTCTAAGCCGAACTCTAGTTTTGGAAATGCATACAGGGTTGCCCATATTCGACGGACCTTTGGGCCCATTCCAATCGACGAGGCTTGTCCGCAGGCAACATTCTTGGCGTCAATTGAATTTTGTACGGGAACAAATGCAAATCAATGCGAATAATTCGTTGTAAAGTGGACCGAGCCATGCCCAACTGCTGAGAACGGCGATGTTCTTGGGGACCTCTCAACACTGGCTCGTACGGCAGCGATATTCTTAGCCGATCGCCTTGGTCGACTTTTATATGGCCTCTTCAGATTAGAAAGAGCATTACCAGTCGAAAATTTTTCGTATAAACGCTTAATGGTGTTCTTAGAAGGCGCACATCTCACATTTTTTAATGTTTTAAAAGCACGTAGAGTTTTCACAATTGACTTGAATGTAAATTTCAACTATTTCAGAGCGCTCGCGTGACGTGTATTGGTTCATGGTAAAAACCTGCTTGGGCTGACGCTTCAAACGCGGTATGTCATTAAGCGATGTGACATCTCTGTCAAAAGTTATGGCGTTGCCAGATGGGTCCGTCGAATATGGGCAACCCTGTACTTATATATACTATTGGTACTATTTAGTACCTTTTAATACTTATCGTACAATTCTAGTACGAATCTTCAAAAACCCAGTCTTATCTGATCCCTTCAAGATTCAGGATGATTTTAAGATTCTAGCTTCAGCCGTTTCGTCTGGGCATTGATGAATTGTCAAGTCGGTCAGTCAGTCAGTCAATTACTTTACTCTTTTACTATAAGAGACCGACTTTCGCCAATATTCATAAACTAAATTCTTGGAATAATTTGGTCGAATGTGTCAAAATCTATTCTATATTCTTCAGAGCTTTCGAACGGAAGTATACCTGATAGTGTAACCTATAAATCAGATGTACTCTATTTTTCTATGTCACTAAAATAAGAGCGAGTATGCTTTGCTAGTTTGTGAGTGTACCAATTAGGCCTCCGAGCATGACTCACTTTTTGCTCTATCTCTCCTGGGAGTGGAAAGAAGAATTGGGCATATTGTATTCTTCGATGTCGCTGTAATAAGATTCTACTCTTGCAGAGCACTTTTCAACAATGACAAAAACTAAGAGTGCTTTGCAAGAGTAGAATCACTGGTGTAAAGAGTATCTCCAGTTTGCTCTAATTACGAAAATAAATAAAATATGAGTAATTATTAATTTTTAAAAATTCAAGAGAATATCGGATCTATCAAAGAGTAAATAAATTCGAAGGGAGTCTCCGGGTTGACCATTCTTTGAACATCACAGTATTTTTATAAAAAGGTCGAATTTTTAAAATCTGGAGAACTGGTCCATTTTTTTGAGGATCTCATGACATTCGACAGGCCCAAAATACTGGCTTTTTTTAAATAAAATTAGTTAAGAATTTCATAACGAAAAATCTTGTCTTTTTAAGGACTTCCTCTTAAAATGGTCGTTTTTTAAACGAATTCATGTCTATTAAGTGGATTTCATAAAAAATATTTCTAAGGATATAATCCCATACAATAACATATATTGTATATTTAAAATACAATATTTAATCCTCAAATCCATATTCGAATCATTAGATTAATTAGGCCACAAGCACCTCAATTCACCAAAGACGTCTGTCTGCCATAATTAATAGCCATCAATTAATTAATTTCCCTATGGATTATTTTATCTACAAGTGGCACTCTCATGTATGCTATTAAATAATAATGTTGTTGTTGCTTCACTTATCGCTCTCTCGCTTTTCACAGTCATTAACGCAAAATCAATAATCACCCAGAAACATAATAACAATTGTCATCGCACTTACCTTGACGTAGAAGCCGATTGCCGATACTGAATTTCTATATACTTGGCAGTGAATATCCAATATGGGGTATAGCCAAAGAAATAGAAGGTGTTCGATAAAATATTGCAGCGAATAATTTTACTCTTATAGAAGAGCTTGAATGTTTTCAACATATCCATGAAGGAGGTCTTTCGTTGTATCTGTTCCACAGATACACCCATATTTTCTTCTTTTGCTCGAAGATTTTGAGCCTTTCGACGGGCAGCTGTCATGGGCAGTTCTTTGGGAAACATAAACATGAAGAGGCCAAAAAAGAAAAGGAGACCGGCTGTTATTAGCCAACCCATCCACCAGGCACCCAACCAACGGGAGTCACGCATATTAATGATGGGTGTTAAGTTCGGTGCTATATACACCCGTAGGCATAAGGAGGCCAAAGTATAGCCCAGTGAGGGTCCCAACAGACCAAAGAAATAGGATATACCTAAAAAAGGAATATTTGAAATATTATAAACACATAATTGTAAAGTTATCGGATTCACTTACTCAACATAGCTGGCGCCTTGGCCTTTTCGGTATTATCATCCATATACGACACACCCAGGGAATAGTACAATGACCCACCCACGCCAGCAACAAATTGGGCAATAAATAGTAAAATTTGTGGTAACAAACTACCCTCTCGTACTTCACACTCAACACCGGTGCCATCATTGCGACAGAGAATTTTTTTCCTTTGCTCTTCCAAATCTTGCATTGATATATTTATATCGCTCACACCTCCATATTCCTTGGTCAGACTCAGGGCATCCTCACCGGGACCATAAATGAAGTGTGGCGTTACGGTGAGCATACAAAAAGCAATCAATGTTAGGAGTCCTGCAAGTAATATGGGAGTTATAAAGTTTATAAAAAATGAATCAATGGCCATACTGTCATGATTACAACAGACTGACACACAGACAGACAGGCATCGCAAATTGACATTAAATTTTAAGTTAATATATACAGTGTAGGGTCTAATGTCTGATGGAAGATTTTCATACCGTACACCACGGCATCGAAATATACATTTTAAATCCCATAAAGTATTATATTCTCTTTTTCAGCAAAAAATTCTATGTCGACTTAGCCATGTCCTTCCGTCTGTGGAAATCTCTCTAGCTTCAGGACGAAGTGAAATAGTTTGATATCAGATATATTTTAGGTTCATAGACCTTTTGGTAATAAAAATGGATAATATATGTCCACGTTTTGGTATTTAAGGTGTTGCGATTGCTTTGGTCATAATTTTAACCCGAATCTGGTGTAAATCGAAGTACGTAAGGCCCAAGTATTTGTATAGTCCTCATATAACTATACCTCCATATGTTCGGTATTTTTATTGTTTGTGTCTTCCATAGTCAGACATATTCGGTTCTTCCATAGTCGATATTTTGATGATTTTAGCTACAGAATTATCAAAAACTTGGTATTTGGATTTTGTAACAGACGCAATAGACTTTATCCGCCAGATAATTGTCAATAGGCGGCCAAGTTTTCGTATGGCCCCATATAACTGCAACACCTCAAATTTGAAATTTAAAATTTTTTAGCGGCATTTTCAATGAAAGTTTTTCCATTCAAGTTTTTTTTTTTCAAATGGTGGAGGATATTAAAAGTTGGGTCCGATCGAAATTATTTGCTTTTTGAGTTGTTCAGTTATTCAGCCATATGGCTACAGAGGATACGGCCAAATAGTGTCTAATCGAAATAACGGCTTTAGACCCTAGGTCTCATTGGACCAAATTCCTTTCGGGACATTTGGAGTCGATCTTGTGATGTATGTCTGTCCGTCTGTCTGGCTGGCTGGAGTGCACGATAACTCTCGAAGGGAGTATTTGATTTGGTGCATCGCAATATTATTATCAAACTTAGATCGAGTTCGGATTTTCTTAAAATCGGTCCACTCCTTCTGGTAAATTCCCGACAATTTAAAAAAAAAAATATTTTAATGCACAGAAAGAGAAAGGATGGACAGATTTTGCTCCAACTTTGAATATCTTAATATGTGCATCTGTGCGGGGTCAGGTGCGAAAATGAACAATTTCGGTCCACCCTATGAAGTACCTCCCCACCAAAGGGTCAACATTTTTAATAGTTATAACTCTTATAAAATCTGATGTAAGAAAAAAAATACATACATCACAATATTTTTATTAATCCAAGATCTGTTTTGAAGATGGAACATATCGGTCCACTCTTTTTGGTACCTCCCCCACAAAACGTAAAGATTTTTAATATCCATGATACTTATAAAACGTGAAATAACATCCAGTTCCATTTAAACTTGATACATCCCAATATATCCATCAACACCAGTCCTTTTGGTTACCTCCTCCAAAAAGGGTTAAAGTTTTGAATAACCTAAATAATTATAAAATCCGAAATAAGCATCCGGTTCTCTTCATAAAGTGTCAATATTTTGAATATCCTAGCTTCATGGAAAATGCAAATGCAAAATTAACATGCGATTGCATTCAAACTTGGTACATCTCAATATTTCCATTAACTCAAGATCTGTTATAAAGATGGGATGATTCGGACTATTTCTTCTGGTACCTCTCCCACATAAGGTTCAAGATTTTGAAAAACAAAACGATCAAAGATAGCGGAATAAGCATTCAACTCCACCATAAAACATTTTTGTTAACCCAAAATATGTTGTGTAGATGATATATATCTGGGAACCCCTTCTGGAACCTCACTCACAAAGGCTGATAATTTTCAATACTTTTATCTGTCATAACTTGCGAAACATATCAGCTATTCTTATTTCCTGGAGGGTCAATTTGAATAATCATAACAGAAGTCAAAATACATTTAAATAATCGAGCATTGGCTGAGGGTATAGACCTGTCGGCAAAATCGACTGATACTTTTTAACTCGTTAACTTGTTTTTTGGTATTTTAGTCACAAATTTTACCAGAGTTTTCTTTAAATTGGCAACTTGTCTTATAGTCCTCATATAAATGTACTTCAAAATATTGGATATTTTTATGATTTTTGTCACGCATTTCATCGGAAATGTTTTTTAAATGGGAAATTTTAAGATCCCAATGGGTACTACATTCTATGACAGAAAATGGCTTATAAAGGTCCACGTATGCGTATAGCCCCCCGGATATTAAAAATTTGGGTCCGATCAAACATATTTGCTTTTTCACTTATTTTTTTTTTAAATATTTTTCATACTTTGATTTTGAAGTGTTAAGTGTTATGTAGTAACAACTTACCGAAACCCATCCAACGTGGACGATGTTTTTTACCAGCATAGTAGCCCAAAACTGCCGAACACAACACCTGGCTCAAATCATTGCCAATCATAATCATGCCCGTGTTACGAGAGGGAATTTTGAAACGTTTTTCCAATGTGGAAATTGTGCCATGAAAATATGAATTTGTCATGGAGAAAACACAGCCGACAAGACCATAAATAATTACATACGATGTTTGGTTTGCAAATCTGAAAAAAACCGAAATAAGTAAAAATAAAAATTCAAGGGAAAACAGGTTAACGCTGGCATGGTCACAAATTTATAAATTTCGACAACATTTCGGGGACAATAGACAAATTGAATACTTTACTTTTTTATGATGTCCCTGACTACTCCAGTTAATTTAAAATACTTACCTTTGTAGAAAAGATCCTTTCACACATCCAAATCCACAGGTTGTATCTTCCGTTAAAGGCATTTCCTTTAAAATACGCTTCACTTCCTGTGGATCAACGGATTTTTGTTTATCCAAAAGTGTTTTCTTCGATTCGGGATCATTTTGCTCATTATCGTCGATTTGAGCCATTTTGGGTTGTTAATTTTTGAGTTAATTTATTTTATTTATACCGGCAGTGCATTGACGACAGTTAAACGCGCGTGTGTTTTAATCTTAAAGTCCACCAGGCAAATGGTCCGAGAGATATTAGTTTACGTTTTTCAATTGTTTATTTGGTTACTTAAACGGGAGATAGAAAGAGAGAAGCGGCAATAATCTTATCGGATTTTTAAATTCTCTTTTTAAAAGAAAACCACAAAAGTTTTGGATTTCGACAATGTGATATCCTACGCTGCACTATGGGGCCGATGGCATGTTTTTCAAGCAAAAATAAAAAATTAAAAGTTTGTCGTTCAAATAAAAAATTAATTGAATTATGTTCATAACACTTTCAAAACCTCGAAAACAAAAAAAAAAAAAAAAATACAGTTTGGCAACAACTTAGGGTCTTATAACGTGTTGTCAAAGATATTTTCTTTTCACAATTTCCTGACAATTTTCCTTAATCGAACCTTACATCATATTGGCGCCTTTTTGCAATATATTAACAACAATGAGTGGAACACATGGAAAAAAATGTAATTTAAGATTATCATTAAAAATAACAATTATTGTTAAACGTTGTAAATTTTCTATTGGGTGCATACACTACAAATTTTAAGCTAGTTTTCGTTTCCGTCCGTCTCTCATTTGGAGTAGAACTTTCGGTATTGACTCGTATTTTGGAAACAATATACATGTGGTGAAAGGTAATAAAACGTTCTATCATATTTTTAAAAAATAGTTTGCAACAATTTTCAAAACAAACCATTAAAAATTCATATATTTTTATACCCTCCACCATTCTAACAATGTCCCTCTGTGTGTCTGTTGTAACCACGCTGTCTTTCGAACGAATTGAGATAAAAAGGCTAAAATTTTGAATACATGCATAAAAATTTCATATGCAGGTCCACGTCTTCCTATAGCCCCCATATAACGGTACCTCCCAATATTCGGTATTTTGATGATTTCAGCAACATTATTCACCGGAATCGTTTTAAATTTCGTATTGGAAAATCTTAATGGGTACTACAACCTATGGCAAAAAATTCAGGTCCACGTACCTCCCGATATTCGATATTTTTGAATGATTCTAGCGACATTATACACTGGAACTGTTATATGTGAGAGCTATATCTATTTTCCTGCCGATTCGAAAGAAATTTGGCAGATGTTCTTCTCATCATAACAAGCAACTAAAAACGAACTTTGGGAGTTCTACCTCGTTCCTGGGGTTTTTTTTGGCTCAAGAACATGCCGTTGGCCCTATAGTGCTGTTGGGGTCAATTGAGCACAGTGAACATTTAGTAGGTATGTGGTGACGAAAAACATCTTACTTATAATTCAGATGTTACAAAATAAAAAAAAAAAAACAACATCAAGCGAACAAACGTCAGCTTCGACTGGGCCGAACTTCCAATACCCTTGATCAATCGACTTAGAATTTATATTGATCTTGAGCGGTGTCTCCGACGAATAAAGAGGTGTTACTCACAGAATTACATTTTTACAAGGTTTCCATTGATTTTGCGCAGATACTTTAAGTGTTTCCAGATTGTGTGTAGTACATCGATCCACGCTACTTATTTATTGTAATATTTCGAAAATTCCAGCCACAATTTATCACTAAAGTTTATGTTATTCGCCATTTTGTATTCTCAGTCAACAGTAGTAGGAGAAGTCCCCGATGTATGCGAACTAAGTCAGGTATTGTGAAGTCCTTGGCTATATTTTTATGTATTAACTGGTAAATTGTATAATTTTCTTATCAATAATATATTCTCCATACTTTTGCTTATTTTGTCTTAATATTAAAATTAAAAATTTCTAAAATAGTTTTAGTGCCAGAAATTAATGCTTTTGCAGTTTACAGAATGAATTTTACTTTTTACTTAAGTAGATATTAAGAAAAAGTAAGAACTTTTTTCAGAGACGTTTTCGCCCCATATTTATGAAATCATTCAATTTTTATCATTCATTCACCAATTTCTAAAAAAAAATGGTATAACATTTATTATATAATAATACACTATACAGCTATGTTGTTTGATACTAGAGGTACATAAGCCTCAGTCAAATTTGTTGAAAATCGAATGGTGACTACTTTTAAACCATGATACAAATTTAAATAGGGTTCATAGTTGATATGATCTATTTCACATAAAATTCCAATACCAAATACGCATAATGGTTTAGGATATCAAATAGTCGCCAGCCCGAATTTTGACCCTTCCTTACTGGTTTTTTATTTATTTTGGTTCTACTTAACACATAAATTCCTAATCTACCCTTTCACTCAAGTCTATTTTGTACATTTTTGCACTTTCGAAATCGGTAAAAAAAAATCTCAGCCGTATTTAACAGAGTAGTCAGATCCTTGATATCAGATACGAAATGGACAATATTTACCCACTCGTTCGGAACCTCTCCAACGAACGGTCAACAATTTGAATAATCATAACGGATGCCGAAATATCTTTAAATAACCGAACATTGGTTGAGGGTATGCAGCTGTCGGCAACACCGACTGATTCAATTCGACTTGTTATATCCTGCATCATAGTATGAAGGGTATATTAAGTTTGCCTTACAATTTGTAACAACTCGAAAAATAAATTTTAGACCGTACCGTAGAAAATATATATTTTTCTTGATCAGCATAAAATGTCGATTTAACGATGTCCATACGTCTGTGGAAATCACACAAACTTTTCAACAAATTGAAGTAGGAACTCAGATGTGTGTTTGGTCTGCAGGACTTTTGGCACTGAAAATTAACTATATAACTCCACGTTTTGGTATAGCCCCCATATAACGGTACCTTCCAATATTCGGTATTTTGATGATTTTTACACATTTTTCCACGGCTTTTTCTAAAAAATGCTAATTGTTGGTCAAAATGGGTTCTAGCTCCGGTGCCGAAACATTGCATGTATAGGTCCACGTTTTGGTATAGCCCCCATATAACGGTACCTGCCGATATTCGATATTTCGATAAAAATTGGTATAACATTACATAACATTGAATATTTAGATCCACGTTTTCCTATAGCGTACATATAACGATACCCACCCATATTCGGTATTTTGATAATCCTAGTGCTATTTACCCACGAAATTGTTTCATATTTGCTATTTTAGAATATTTGATAGATGACAATCCTTGGAGGGTACTAAAAGTTCGGCCGGGCCTTGTTATGATTTTTTAGCATTTTTCAACATGTTTTTTTTATTATTTCAAAATTATCTCCAAATGGTGGAGGGTTTTCCAAGATCGACTCGGTCAAACGTACTGCTTTTTTACTTGTTTTTCGTTTGACTCAATATCCATGGTTGGAAATATTTAATAAAACAAAGTATGTGAAAGCTGAATTCTAAGAATTATACCAGATGAATGACAAAGTTTTATGAACTCAAGGCAGATTGTCTTAATGTCATGATATTGTTGTGTTGTTTTAAAAAGAAAATTCTACGTTTCTCCTTTCTACAATAGCGATTTATAAATTTATTATCTAACAATGTCAGCTCTATGTAGAATAAAGTGTATGAACTCAAACTCAACTAATGGATCAGATCGGATTGGAAATACAAAATTATAACAAAAGAACGTGTCATCATCACTGTCAGCATAGTAAGTAGGTAAGTCCAATATATTGCCACTTGCTGCTGAATTATTTGCGAAGTTACAAATGGTTCGAAGAACCAAATATGCCTACACAAATGATATTGACAACATTGATTATCGCCTAACATTTCGTTATATAGCTATAGCTACTTAATATTGAAAACAAGTTCTCTGTAAGGTTCTCACTATAAATTGTTTAGAGAGATATATCAAAATTTATTTGAGAGTTAATGAGAAATTTTTAAAAATGTGCGATTTCGTTGATACCATTTGCATTAAAGCTTAGCAGGAATATGATAACACATTAGTTTTTTTTAAGAACAATATTATTGTATAGATAAAGGAATAGTGGTCGAGTTTGAGGTTGATATTAGTAACACGGGCCATAAGAAAATTATTCGTACGACATAGTTTGAAACAAATTAGTTGAAAATAATACCAATTGGCCTAACATATTGTATAGGTCGTTAACCCAATTAAAGTTACTTACTATAAACTGATCACAGATATTTTAAATTTATTTGAGAGTTTCAAAAACCATATTATTTAAACAATAAACTTTTAATCAGATGAAGATATACAGGGAGAGATGAGGAAAACTGCAATAAAGTCTAACGCCATAATTTTTATATATTTTTATATTTTATTGAATGAAAACAAAAAATGTCGGAAAGAGCATCAAATTTTAGAATAAGTTTAGATTTGTTCGAATTGGTCACCTTTGGCACGAATTATTTCCATTATTCAAACGGCCACGAATTATTCAAACGGCCAATGCCAACCTTGCTTTCCAAAATACTCAAAACACAATAGTCCAACGGATTGGTATCCTGATTGGTCCAAGACCTGAGGACAAAATGTTGGCGTGCCCAAGGCTTTAACACACCCTCCAGAATATTTTCGCGATAATATTCGGCATTTATTCTAATGCCATGGTTGATTAATACGAGCGGAGTGCGACCATCGGCTGTCACCATGGCCAGCGCTTGAGTTCTGGTGGCCAACCGAAGGTGCACATTTACAGCTGACCTCTTTGGCAAGTAAACACGAACATTCTGTTTGTTTACAAACTGCTGGACAACGAATGTTTTCTCATCGGAGAAACCCAAATTCGGCAGTTCACCACTTTCGGCCAAGCGAAGCTAGTCTTTAGCTCTTTTGAGCCTATTTTCTGGTACTTTTTGGAATTTCAATGACTTTACCCCGAGCTCATTTTTCAATAGATTTATTCAAATTTAAATGCCGGAGTGCTCTAACGATAGTCGCTTGTGTTTTTCCAGCCAAATATAAAGAAATCACAATATCACGCTTGAATTCCAACACGAATAACTTTTTTCTGGAAAATTCTCACCAAAATGAGCTGTCACTAAAATAATTTTAACAGCTGTCGGACGAGTGGCCTAGAAATGACAGCAGTCTGAAGTTGGTTGCAGTTTTTTCAGCTCACCCTCTATATAGGAGCTATATCCAAATTTGAACCGTCCTAAAAAAAAGTAGGGAAGGTATTGCTGTGATCGATATTTCTGTGATCGATAGTTGGGTTCAAATATCGTTGTATTCAACATAAATTCAGATGGAACATAATCGTGACATATATTTAAACAGATTTTCACCACATTTGATACACTTTCTTCCAAGATGAATGTGCCAAAACCCCCTCAGTTCGGGATTATATTAGCTATATCCAAATCTGAACCGATATTGATAAAATGTGGCAAAGGAATTTCTGAGCTGTATTTGATATATTTTTTTTCGAATATCGTTGCTTCGGAGAGCATATTACACCTGTGAAGGGCAGAAATAACAAATCGGATGAAAAATATATATCTATCTATATATACTTTGTCTACAAAAGTACATGAACAAACGGACAGACATACATAAATCGACTATGAATGTGATTCGGTGCTGGTCATCAAAAGGAACTATAGTCTAACTCGCTTCCTTCTATATGTTACAAACAAATGTACGAAACTATTTTTTTTAATTGAGTAGTTTTTGGATTACTTTTTATACTTTTCTCAAGTTTTGGTGAAAATGGTCAAAAATGATATTTTTCTAGTAATCGGCATCCCCTGCCGACTACTGGCAAATCGCTTCTTTCTGTTCCTAATGTCGGCATTAAATAATATAACAGAAAAATCCTTGATTTGTATATTTTTGAGTTATAAAATGATATTTAGACTGTTGGTCACCAATATAAAATATTTCTGATTCCAAAGGTATTAAATATAATTTACTTAAATCGATTATTAAGTTGACGCCACCACTAATTTTTTCTTTAAAAATATGAACTATCGCACGCATTGGAAGACGCTCACTGACGAAAACCGTTTTTTAGGGGCGTTTTTGCAAGGTTAAAAAAACTTCTGGTTAAAACGGCTAAAATAATCCATATAAAAAGTAAAATGTGTATGGCCCAATATCAACATGTACATATACACGGTGAGATGAAAAAACTGCAACAAACTTCAGACTGCTATCATTTCTAAGCCACTCGTCCGACAGCTGTTGAAAATATTCCAGTGAAAGCTCATTATTGTTTACAAGCCTACAAAAACATTTTGCTGGGAACTTTCTAGATATAATACCCTGACCGCAATGTGTCTCTACTTCTATAGGGTTGCCAATATTCGACGGACCTTTGGGCCCATTCCAATCGACGAGGCTTGTCCGCAGGCAACATTCTTTGCGTCAATTGAATTTTGTACGGGAACAAATGCAAATCAATGCGAATAATCCGTTGTAAAGTGGACTGAGCCATGCCCAACAGCTGAGAACGGCGTTTTTGGGATGTTCTTGGGACCTCTCAACACTGGCTCGTACGGCAGCGATATTCTCGGCCGATCGCCTTAGTCGATTTTTATATGGCCTCTTCGGATTAGAAAGAGCCTTACCAGTCGAAAATTTTTCGTATAAACGCTTAATGGTGTTCTTAGAAGGCACACTTCTCACATTTTTTAATGTTTTAAAAGCACGTTGAGTTTTCACAATTGACTTGAATGTAAATTTCAACTATTTCAAAGCGCTCGCGTGGCGTGTATTGGTTCATGGTAAAAATCTGCTTGGACTGACGCTTCAAACGCGGTATGTCATTAAGCGATGTGACATTTCTGTCAAAAGTTATGGCTTTGCCAGATGGGTCCGTCGAATATGGGCAACCCTGTATATAGGTTTTATGCCCACTTTTACAATTAAATATCGATCCAAAATTATTATATCCCTATTTATAGAGAAACACCACTATGTAATGAAGCAATTTATTCACTTTTTCGATATATGTATTATATATTTTCGTTACAATCAAGTCAAAAAATCACAATCGCTATGTTATAATCAAGGGTTGCTATCGCTGATATTGCTATGACGGTACGGCTGAAACGTCACAAACTCGAATACAACATCACCATCATAATGACGTCAAATAAGACGATGACATTCAGCGATTAACAATCACTTCGTTGAGAAAGGCTGATATTAATTTCTGCTATTATCAGCAGGCAAACACAACGGTTTGTGAATATGTCTTACTAAGAAAAAACTTTTAATACCCTCCACCATTTGAAGCGAATTTGGAAATTTCCAAAAAAAAAAAAAAAAATCCGTTGAAAATTCTGTTAAAATCTTAAAAATACCAATTATATGAAGTCGCCATTACATTGGGGTCTATACGATGAAGTGTACCTGCCTAGACAATTTAATTTTCTGTCACAGGCTGTAGTACCCATTGGGAACAAAATTTGAAACAATTCAGCAGACTATTGTACCTAAAATCGTCAAAATACCGAATATAGGGAATATAATACCCATAACCAACTTCAAATACGGAATTTGAAACCATTCCGGTGAATACCATTAGGAACTTAATATACGGAATTTGAAACTATTACGGTGAATAATGTCCCTAAATCATCAAAATACCGAATATCGGGTATACCTCTATATGGGGGCTATACGATATCGTACTTGTGTCTATTTTCAGAAAATTTCATTAAAAAGGAAGCTAAAATCATCAAATTACCGAATATAGGAAGGTACCGTCATATAGGGGGATAAGCGATATCGTGGACTTATATATATTTTTAGGGGATGAAATACTCAGAAGAAATATTTTGTGTGAATTTTCAAACAATTCCATTGCAAAATTTGGCTACAATAATCAAAATACCGAAGATCGGGTGTACCGAACTTGACCTGTCTGCAGACAAAAGAATGACCGGTGCAAAATTTGGTGTTTGAAATGGACCAAAAACTGAAAAAATTCCTGATTTTGTAGTTGCTCTACTGGTCGCAATTATAGACCAAACAAAGCGGAAGTTAGCATTGGGCTAGAGCTTAGGGCTGGGCAGAAGCTTTCCAATTTTGATGGTCATCGGGTAATATATAGTGGGTTAAATAGACTATAACATTTGTGTTAAATAAAAGTCAATTTTTCCATTAAACCGCGAATATTTTTAATCCCGGCGAAATCACAAGTAGACGAACAAGTCAATTCTGACCGTTACGCAGATGCCGATAGTAAATATATCGGTTATATGTAGCGAAATATATACAATATGTATATACAAAGGAAGGGGATGTTAGTTAAAATGCTTATATCTCAAGAACGTATATTTTGTAATATTTTTTCTGCTTACAACACAGGCTGGGGTGATTGTATGCAGATTGCAATTATCTTCCGATCCTCACGAAAATTTCACAAGTTTAGGGTTATGCTCAGAAGGGCTAGACCTATTGTTTTCAAAGATGTCCGCAATATATTTAGGGGTTGAAATGGATCAACAAATAAAAATGTTCCATTGGATTATATTTAGCTGTAAAATGGACCACAACAACTAGAAGCACGACGGAGTGCGTAAATATTGGTCAAATATCGCTGGTCAAAATGCTAAGGGTAATATCTTGGCAGTGCTCCGTGACATAATTTCAAGAGAGAAATTTTTCAAGATGGATTTGGACATAATTCTAACATATTGTAGTGTTGTAGGGTATCACATGGTCCGCCTCGCACGACTATAGCCTTTGCTTACTTGTTTTTATTGTAGGCGCGCTTAAATGCTATAAAAGTGCTAGAGATATATGTGGAAGTGACACTTTACATAAGACTTATATTATATGTAATATGGCCTCAAGGATTATTGAAAATGATTCATTGCCTTTAACCAGCTTCTGGGGATGTACACCAGTACAATGATGGATCAGCAATTAAAAAAAACATTTTTGTCAATGAGTTTTTTGGCTTATTCATCAAAAATATCATTTATAGTAAAAATATTTTTTTAAGACATATCAATTTGTTTATTGTTAACTTAAATTAATTTTCTATATATATAATATTTGTTCGTTATATTTTATTAAAAATTATCGTATGGGAAAATTCCTCGAACTTTACTCATTATGAGTAAGTGTTTGTTCATTTTTGGATGCACCCTGCAATTCTTTGGGCTTCTCTTCTTCATCATCGAAAACTTTCAAATGCTTAACATAATACCAAACGCCGGCATTACAAAATGTGCTAATGCCAACAAAGAAAGCAGCTACTAAGTTCAAGGTTAATCTAAAATGGATATGAGTCAGATAAATCAATCATAAATCTATAAAATTTTAACATTACACAATCTATACCCACCTCAATCCGGCCGCATCATATAGCCAGCAATTGCCCTTATTCGTACACGTTTTACCCCATACCAAACAATTCTTATCAAATATCCAACCATAAAATATCGGAGCCGGTACAAAACACACCAGCGATATGAACATCATACCGAAACCCATAAGGGCCGATTTATCTTCTGGCGAGACGGAACGCATTGTAATTAAAAGATTCGAAGCTCGTCCGGTTGCAGCAAAGAATTTAATAACACACATCACGGCCAAAAATGTTATAAACTGTTGCGAACATTTAACCGGACAGGCTCCTGACATGGCTTGACCACCTGTACCCAAGGAAAGCTAGGTAATAAAAAAAAAATTGAAATTTTATTTTAAAAATGGTTAATTTATTTTATAGTACTCACATTTGTTATATTTAAATTCGAATTGATAATATCGTCGCTCGTTAGCCTTTCAAATAGCGGATTTGTATTGAATGTCTCATTCGAAGCGGTCGGTATGCAGGAACAGTCGTAATAGCTCTGAAAAATTGAGTAGCATATTGTGTTTAAAATCCACATGTAATATATGTACAATGTGATGGCTCTTGGACTACTCTTTTTATACCCTCCACCTTGAAAACTAGGGTATATTAACTTTGTCATTTCATTTGTAACATCCCTACATATTCGTCGCAGACACCATAAAGTATATATGTAAATTCATTATCAGCATAAAATACGTCATTTACGTAGATTAACGATGGCCGTCTGTCTGTTGAAATCACCATAAAGCCCACATTAGTTGACGTAGAGCTTCATAATTTGGCAGAACAATTTGTATTGTATCTAGGATGTCCACCCGATTCCACCCGATATTCGGTATTTTCTTGATTTTCCGCACATTTTTTCACAGATTTGTCTAAGAATTGGTATTTGTAGTTCATAATGGGTTCTAGCTCCGGTTACGGAACATTGAATATTTAGATCCACGTTTTCCTATAGCGCACATATCACGATACCCACAGACATTTAGTATTTTGATAATTCTAGTCTCTTTATGTATTTATTTATTTAATTATACCCTACAACACTATGTGTTGGGGGTATTATAAGTTTGATTGGGCCAAAAATTATGTAAGACCACGAAATATTCGTTTCCCACATAGGAAAGTACATATGGATCTTCCTATCTTGCCGAGCTGAGTCGATCTAGCTATGTATTTCCGTCCGTCCGTCCGTCTGTCCATGTTAATTTGTAATCAATCTACAGGTCGCAATTATGGCCAGATCTTCAGGAAACTTGGAATGGAGGTGGGGCTAGGGTCAGAATAGAACTTATTTCTTTTGGAGGTGATCGCATTATATTTAGGGGTTGAAATGGACCAAAAACTGAAAAAATCCTAATATTGCAGTTGCTCTACAGGTCGCAATTATAGACCAATCAAAGCGAAAGTTAGTATGGGGTTAGAGCTTAGGGCTGGGCAGAAGCCTTCCAATTTTGATGGTCATCGGGTAGTACTTAGTGGGTGAAATAGGCCACAACACCTGTGTTAAATAAAAGTCAAATTTTCCATTAAACCGCGAGTGTTTTTAACCCCGGCGAAATCACAAATAGACGAACAGGCCAATTCTGACCGTTACGTAGATGCAGATACTAAATATATTGGTTATATTTAGCGAAATATATACAATGTGTATATACAAAGGAAGGGGATGTTAGCTAGAATGCTTATATTTACCGAATGGCTGGACCGATTTTGACAAATATTGTCAATTCAGAATGCCCTCTTGACATAAAAGTATAAAATCTAAAAAAAATTGAAGAAAAATGCCAATATTGATTTAATATAGATTTTGTAGTATTTTGTGACTTTTTTTATTTTTCCATATTTTTATCGTATGCGATTTTTCCAATTTGACTTATAATATTTTGAAATATTTTTTCACCTTACAACACAGGTTGGGGATATTATATAAGTATTGCAAATATCGTCCGATCCTCACGACAATTTTCACAAGGGTAGGGTTGGGCTCAGAAGGGCTAGGCCTATTGTTTTCAAAGATGTCCGCAATATATTAGGGGTTGAAATGGACCAACAACTAAAAATTTTCCTGATTATGAAGCCGTTATAAAGGTCACAAATAGAAACCAAAGGACACGAAATCTCGCATAAGGTTAGAGTTAAGGACAGAGGGTAGAATGGCTCACTAATTTTGTGTGAAAAAATGCCATCATTACTTACAGGCGATATCCGGATTACGCAAAAGGCGAACTTCTGGCTTTTTTATGCTGATTTCGTTTGGAGATAAAGAGGGGCCTCTTGCTTTTAGAGATGATCGAAAAATATTTAGGGGTTCAAATGAACCAAAAACAGAAAAAAATTCCTGATCACACAATTGAAGACAATCGATACGCCTGAGAAGAGGGTTGAGGACAGCAAAGAATTCTAGCATTTTTGATGACTATTGGATTATATTTAGATTTATAGTGGACCACACGACTAAAAGCACGACGGAGTGCGTAAATATTGGGCAAATGTTCCTGGTGACATAATTTTAAAAGCGAAATCTTCCAAAATGGATTTGGATATAAGGGGGCTGCTAAGATATTTTAGTGTTGTAGGGTATCACATGGTCGGCCCCGCACGACCATAGCCTTTGGTTACTTGTTTTTTTAAGTTTAACAGAATTTTCCAACCGGTCTTACTGGTATTTGTAGTTTAAAGTGGAACATTTTTGAATTCAGATACTTTTTTATGAAAATGTATTAAAAGTTCGGCCCGCCCGAGCATAGCGTTTTTTACTTGTTTTTAAATAAACTGGAATGAAAGTACATGGAAGAACGGACTGGCTGTATTAAATATTATTGATGTCGGTAGCATATTACGGTTGTATCTTTTCTAAAGAGATGTAGTTATATATCCGAATCGATTTTCACCAAATTTGATTCAAAACAAAAAAAAAAACGATTACAGGGAGTTAATCTTTCTGTTATCACCCGCACAAAAGTTCAACCTGTCCCAAAAACACATATTCATATCTCATACAAAATGGAGGATGTACTCGATATAGCCCAAGTCACGAGGTAATATTGACATAAGACTTCGGTCAGATGTGAAATGGTCAATATTCGACCGCTCCTTCTGCACCAACCCCATAAATTATAACCATTTGAATAATGAGTCAAAATATATATAAACTAGTCAGTGCCCGCAATTTCTTCAGCGAAAAGTCCACCTTAAAAATGTAGATTCGTTCCAATAGACGTGATAGGCCTTTTAAAGTACTCAATTTCGACAATTTAATCAATTTGAAAAAAAAAATCGAAACATCGTACTATATTTTTAGTCTTTTAAGGTTTATTTTCGAAAAGAATAAAAGAAATATGTTTTCCATTCACACCAAATAATCTTCAAAATCTTTCATTTTAAATAATACCGATCAGGATGTTAGTAAAACCATTGCACAGTAGATACACATCAAATTTTTCTGTCCAAAACCATTTCAACTTCTCCACGTGTTAACCCTAGAAACCAACAGGTAAATTTCAGCTGTACACGTTCACTCAATACCAAATTTACACTTTTCGTATGAATTTAGTACTCAGTTTCAAAACCATTCCATATCTCAATCCTAAACATCAACAGTAAAATTTAAAATTTCAGTTATATGCGTATCCCATCACTCAATACCTAATTTAGTAACATTTTGTACTTTCGGTACAAATATACCAAATTTCAGAATTTTATCGCTAGCTCTTAACACAATACCAAATAAAGTAATATTTCTGAAACCATCACTAACAACCTTCACATGATCAGCCACCCTAATACCAATTTTCAGTGTAACAAAGTTAGTACTTTTCGTACAATTATAGTACACTTTTCCAAAACAACCTCCATATCACAATCATCAAAATGCCGAATAAAGGGAGGTATCGTTATATGGGGCTATACAAAGACATAGACCTGCACAGACAATTTTCTGTCATAGGCTGTAATATCCATTACGAACTCCAAATGCCACAATATCAAATTTCGGGATACCAGTTTTATCCCTTCAGCCAATTTGGTGTCACTTAGTATTTTTGGAACAGTTATAGCACACATTTCCAATACCACCTCCATGTTTCAACCACAGACACCAAATTTTGGGAGTAAAGCTCCATCCTCCCAATACCAAATATTGTACTATTTAGTATTTTTTGTACAATAATTGTACACATTTAGTACTTTCCGTACACATATAAAACGAATTTCCAAAGCACAAACACAGATACCATCAGTAATCTACATATCAAATTTCAGAATTTTATCTCTATCCCTTCAGCCAATACCAAATATAGTACAATTCATCATTTTTCGTACAGTTATGGTACACATTTCCAAAACCAACACCATATGTCACGGCTTCACATGAACAGCGACTCTAATACCAAATTTCAGTGTAACATATTTAAAACCTTTCGTAAAATTGTAGTACATATTGCCAAGACCACTATCATATCGCAAGACCAGATACCAACAGCTACCTAAATATCAATTTGAGGATCACTTCACCCAATATGAAACTTAGTAGCATTTAGTACTTTTCGTAGAAATATATAGGACGCATTTATAAACACTGTCGAATTTCAAACGCAGATACCATCAGTAATAAAAATATTAAATTTAAGAATTGTTTCTCTCTCCCTTCACCCTATACAAAATGTGGTACTATTTAGTACTGTTCGTACAATTATAATGCACGTGTCAATCCATATCTCAATTCGAAAGAGAGAGAGAGACTTCAGTACCAAATTTCAGGATTCCAGGTCTAACCCTTCAATCAATATCAAATTTGGTACCATTTAGTACTTTTCGTAGAATTATAGTAAAATACATCCACCTTCATATGTCCAGTCTACAAATGAACAGCGATTTAAAAAAATTAAAATTTTAGATTTAAAGCACTATATGTTCATCCAAAACCAAATTGTACCAAATTTAGAACCACTTAGTACTTTTCTTAGAATTATAATACAGATTTTCGAAACCACCTCCATATGTCCAGAATAAACAAAACAGCGACCCCAATACCAAGTGTTATATTTCAAACACTATCTGTTAATCCAATACCAAATTGTACCAAATACTGTACTATTTAGTACTTTTCATGCACTAGCTACCAAAACCACCTCTTTATCACAAACCTACCACCAACAGAGACTCCAATACAAAATTTCGTGCACCCTAAACCAAACTGTCCCAAATGTAGTACTATTTAGTGCAGTTTACACACTTATTACAAATTTGTAAAAATACATTCATATATCAAACATACTTTCCAACCTTGGTTTTCAAATTCCAAGTTTTTATGTCTATCCGTTTATATAATACCAAATGGTACAATTTTAAGAAGTTTAGTGCCATTTTAGAACTTTTCGTGACCTTAAAGTTCGAATTTCCTATAACCGTTTGCTACATCTGTCCTACAGTTCATCAGGAACTCTCATTCTGTTTGTCCAATGCGAAGTATTAAATTTTGACAATATTTTAGTACTTTTCGTACCCTTTTAGTACGAAATGTGGCGTTGTTTTAGAAGAGTATTGTAAGAATGTGCAATGTGTAAATATGTAATTTTTTTTATTGTATGTGTATGTAGCACATACATGAATACTCACTTTTATTCCATTCGAATCCATGTGTTCTCGCTTGCAGCCGGCATGGCACGGCGAAATATACGTTCTCATATCTTCTCCACACACTGGCATATAACGGACATAATCACAATGGCAAACACTGTTGCAGCTCATGGTGGTGTTCAAAACACCGCTAAAAAATTGATAATAAAACCCAAAACAAAAAAATAATTAAATAAAAAAAAAATGTGATAGTGTCACAAAAAAAAACCAACCATTACCTATCATAAGAATTGTTAATCAATGATATGTCATTGCCCGAACAGCCTATGAAAGCATAGGCAATCATGCCGGACATCGTCACAATATCGACCAATATATTCCATGCGGCCAAATAACGAGCTCTGGGCTTATACTTTGATATGATAAAGCCAGATAAGAGGATGGCTATGGCCGAAAATGCCAAGGCAACTGTGCCGGTGACAATGCTGAAAACGAGAAAAAATGCTTCTGATTTAATGCTTAACAAAAATCTAATGAGTGAATGATGATATAGCTATAGAGTGGACATGCTGCAAGTAGTGCTTCTATATTTCTGTTTCAAACAAATTAAGATTTAATCACTTTATAACTGTTATCACACCAAAAATTGAAAAATCATTTTATAATGTTTACTAACCTTGAAGTGGCCGCTGATTGTCGATATTGAATTTCAATGTACTTGGCAGTAAATATCCAATACGGAACATAACCAAAGAAATAGAAAATATTCGACGATGAATTGAAGAGAATAATTTTATTTTTGAAAAACATTCTGAAGGTGCGTATCATATCGGAGAAGGATGCCTTGTTTTCAATGCGCTCCACAGATTTACCCATGTTCTCTTCTTTGGCCCTCAATTCATATATTCTTCTGCGGGCAGCCGTCATTGGCAATTCCTTGGGGAAGAGGAACATGAATAGGCCACAGAGGAATATCATTACTGCCATAATACACCAACCCATCCACCATGCACCCAACCAGCGGGAATCACGATTGTTTATTATCGGAGTTAAATACGGTGCAATATAGATACGCAAACAAATCGAGGCTAAGGTATAGCCCATAGATGGACCCAATAGGCCGAAAAAATAGGAAATACCTAAAGAATATAATTTAGTAGTATTTTATTTATAAACTTTATGAAGAAACTCACTCAGCATCGCCGGTGCCTTGGCCTTCTCGGTATTGTCGTCCATATAAGAAACTCCCAAGGTGTAGTAGAGAGAACCTCCCACTCCAGCAATAAATTGTGCCGTAAACAATAAAAGTTGCGGCACTAGGCTACCCTCACGTACTTCACATTCTACACCCGTTCCATCGTCACGACATAGAATTTTTTGCCGTTGCTCCTCTAAATCTTTCATAGAAATATCTATATCTGATACTGCTCCATATTCTTTGGTTAGACTTAAAGCATCATCTCCAGGGCCATAAATAAAATGTGGCGTCACCGTGAGCATGCAGAAGACGACAAGGGTTAATAGACCTGAAGGAATTAATATTATTGATTAATTAATTTCTGGAAATTGGAAACTTTTTTGACGATTTTAGAAACCAGTTTCGGTTCGGTCTCCGTGAATATGTTGATGCATGATGAATATTTCATTTACAATATTTCGAAAAAAGAAAAAAAATAATAATAGTATTTTCATTGATTATTGTTTTGTACAATAAAGTATATTATAGAACAAAAAAGTGTCCAACATAAAATTATTGTTTTACTCCATGTTTGGAGATTTACTGCAACAAAGTCAAACGCCATAATTTTTATATATTTTTTTTTAATGTTATTGAATGAGAGAAGAAAATTTCGGAAATAGCATCAAACTTTAAAATAAGATTAGATTTGTTCGAATCCGTCACCTTTACGGAGAGCGGATAGCGACCATCGGCTGTTATGGCCGCCACACCATCACCATGGCCGGCGCTTGAGCTCTGGTGGCCAACCGAAGGGGCACATTTTCAGCTGACCTCTTTGGCATGTAACCACTATAATTTTATTTGTTTACAAACTGCTGGACAACGAATGTTTTCTCATCGGAGAAAACCAAATTCGGCAGTTTACCAGTTTTGGCCAACCAAAGCAACACTTTAGCACGTTTAAGTCCAATTTCTGTCGCGATGAAAGTTCTTGAACTTTTTGGAAACTCAGGGGCTTTACCCCGAGCTCATTTTTCAATATTTGCCGAATGGAATATTGCGATATGTGCATCTCACAAGCCATTTTTCGGCCACTGCGATGCGGGTTTCGATCAAGTGGCCTCTTTACTTTTCGAACAATTTCTGCTGATGTTGCTGTTTTGTTCCGTCCACTTCCTTGATGTCGGGCTACGCTTCCACTATCACGGTAACGAGCATTGGTACGAAACACAAAATATGTATTCGCATTTAGATGCTGGAGTGCTCTAACGATAGCAACTTGTTGTTTTGCAGCCAAATGTACAGAAATCACACTAACGCGCTTGAATTCCATCACGAATAACTTCTCTGAAAAATTCTCACCAAAATGTGTTTGTACGCTTGTAAACAATATAATAAGCTGTTACTGGAATAATTTTAACAGCTGTCCGACGAGTGGCTTAAAAATGGAAGACCATAAGTGGCTATCCCTAGAGCACTCCAGCATTAAAATGTAAATAAATTTTTGTCTCGTACAATCGCTCGTTACTTTGATACTGATAGCGTAGCCCGACGTCAAGGAAGTGGACGGAAGAAAACAACAACATCAGCAACCAGTAAAGAAAGTCCTAAAGTCGGGCGGGGCCAATTTTATGATACCCTACACCACTTTGCTAATTTAGTTGAGCTCCACTTAATAATTAAAAGTTTTTATGGGAAAATTCAATCATACACGCTATTATTATAATTATAATTTAAATTTAAAGGACTAAATATGCCGAAGCATTTGTTCTTTTAAATTCTAACTTGTATTGCCCATTTAGTGCGAAATTTGAAATCGGATAAAAATATATATGGGAACTATATCCAAATCTGAACCGATCTCGATAATATTTGGCAAACATATTTCTGAGCTGTATTTGATATATTGCCCTGAATATCGTTGTTACGGAGTGCATATTACGACTGTGGGTAACAAAAACAATAAATCGGATGAACAATATATATGGGAGCTATAACTATATCTGAACCGATCTTCACCAAATTTGGCATACTACCTTCTAAACTAAATTCGGTCGTAAGTGCCAAATTCCATCCCATTTGGACAAATATTAGACGTTTGGGGCACAATAAATGGTAAATCGGACGAAGTTATATATGGGAGCTATATCCAAATCTGAACCGATCTCGATAAAATTTAGCAAAGGTATTTCGGAGCTGCATTTGATATATTTCCCCAAATATTGTTGTTACAGAGTGCATATTACGGCTGCGGAGGACAAAAATAACAAATCGGATGAACAATATATATGGGAGCTATAGCTATATCTGAACCGATTTCGATAAAATTTGGCACACATATTTTCAGGCCTAATTTGGGTGTATATGCAAAATTCCATACAATTCAATTTTCAATTGTATTCGGGCTGATATTACACGTTTGGTGCACAATAAAAGGCAAATCGGACGAAGATATATATGGGAGCTATATCTAAATTTTTACCGATTATCTCCAATTTCAATAGGGTTCGTCCTTGGGCCAAACAAATGTTGTTTGCAAAATTTCATCTCAATCGGATAATAAATGCGACCTGCATTTTGTTCACAAGAATACATGGACAGACGGACGGACGGACAGACGGACTGACATGCATAAATCAACTCAGAAAGTGATTCTATGCAGATCATCAAAAGGAACTATGGGTCTATCTCGTTTCCTTTTGCCTGTTACAAACAAATGCAGAAAGACATAATACCCTGACCACCTTGTGGTGTAGGGTATAAAAATGGTTCTAAGTAGCTGAAGAATGGCTCATGATCTGAACATATAGCAATATTCCATTCGCAAATGTTGAAAAATGAGCTCGGGGTAAAGCCATTGAAATTCCAAAAAGTAGAAGAACTTACACCGCAACAGAAAGAAATTAGACTCAAAAGAGCTAAAGAGTTGCTTCGCTTGGCCGAAAATGGTGAACTACCGAGTTTGGTTTTCTCCGATGAGAAAACATTCGTTGTCCAGCAGTTTGTAAACAAATAAAATGATAGTGGTTACATGCCAAAGAGGTCAGCTGAAAATGTGCACCTTCGGTTGACCACCAGAACTCAAGCACCGGCCATGGTGATGGTGTGGGCCGCCACAACAGCCGATGGTCGCTCTCCGCTCGTATTAATCGATAGGGCATAAATGCCGAACATTACAGAGAAAATATTCTGCAAAGAGCACGCAAATATTTTGACCGCAGACCATGGACATTCCAACAAGACTCAGCACGCGACACCTAAGAATGGTAACAAAATAAGGTACCTCGCTTCATTTCCAGGGCAGAATGACCACCAAAATCTCCGGATACTAATCTGTTGGACTATTGTGTCTGGAGTATTTTGGAAAGCAAGGTTGGCACCAAAAAATACAAAAGTGTCGATCACCTCAAGCAAGCGCTTCGCCGGGAATGCAACATGCATAGCAACATTCGGGCAGCGTGTGACGGTTTTATTGGCCGTTTAAAGGCCATAATTTGTGCCAAAGTTGACCAATTCGAACAAGTTTAATTTTAAACTTATTCTAAAATTTAATGCTATTTTCGACTTTTTTGCTTTAATTCAATAAAATTAAAAAAAAAAATAAAAATGTTAGGTTTGACTTTGTTGTAACTTTTTTATCGCACCCTATAAATATCTAATTTTGGGATTTCCTTCACTCAATATCAATTATAGTACCATAGAGTACTTTTGGTACAAATATTGGACGTATTTTTAATATCACCTTAAGGTGAAATAGTAGGTCTCTTTGGAAAAAATCTTTTAAAAGACATTTGGAGTCTGCCTGACGCAATAATATATCCACACATGCATAGCCAATTAAGTCGGAAATTGTGACTGAAACCTTCAACATATACCAAATTGTATACCCATATCCTCTGGGAACCTACTTCGTTGAACTATAGCTTATTGGAAAGCTGTAAAAATTTAACAATGAGTCGCTTTTCAGGATATTAAACATCTAACTATTTCGAATGTTATCTATACAATCGGAGATTTTTCGCAGGATTAGAATACCAATTATTTACTCCCACTCGACATTGAACTATTGCACCTTTACACAACATTTAACATTCTTCATTAATTCTCTCTTGCTTACCAAAGCCCATCCAACGTGGTCGATGTTTTTTACCAGCATAATAGCCCAAAAATGCCGAACACATAACCTGGCTCAAATCATTGCCGATCATAATCATGCCGGTATTACGCGAGGGTATCTTAAAACGTTTTTCCAGCGTAGAAATTGTGGCATTGAAATAAGCACTGGCCATGGCAAAGACACAACCGACCATGCCATAAATAATAACGTACGCCGTTTGATTAGCAAATCTAGGTTAGGAAAAAACACAAACATTTCTAAATGAGCAACACAAAAGGGGGATAATAGAAGATAAAAACAACTTTTGTAAAAATGCTCCTTTTAGAAATCCAACACCGCATGTTGTGTCACGCGTTAACGGCATTTCGGCACAGACACGACGCACTTCCTCCACATCGATAGATTTTTGGGTGTCCAAAAGTTTTTTACTCTCAGCCGGATCATTTTCCAGTGGCTTATTAGTTTTGGACATTTTTTATTATTAACTGAATTTTTTTTACGATAATATAAGTTAAGAGATTAAGGAATATCACGTTTTTCGAACGCGCCACACACTTGTGGCTAAGAGCGCACCGTTACTTCTTTTAATACCGACGATCGTCTACCGAATGATTGCAATCATTCAAACTTTTATTTATTCGAAAATGTCGTATTATGATTGCAAGACCTTACAGCTAGCTGGTTGTTTAGGGGCAGCACATCTTATCAGCTATTTTACTCGTACGTATGTATATATGCTTATACTTCATATTTTACGGTTATTTGTTTGGCCATACTCAAGATACGCACCCTACGGTGTGACAGGTGTCCACAATATTTGCAAATGTAAAAGCGGCAGCAGCATTTCTTTGTTTAGGACTTAAGGGGATTTGAATACAAATCCGAGATAACCGAAGAACAACAAACATATTTATTTGGGAATTTTCTTTTCATTTTAAAAAATCAATTAAAAATGTTGGCGTATGGTGAGGCACCTTAATATTTCGGTGCCTTAACTTTATTGGCGATATAATTTCAATTGGTCTAAATTAATTTCATTAAACATTAGACTGATAAGTCAATGGGCAACTGAGTATATGAGGGAGTGTAAGTCGTCCGTAATAGTTATAGATAAAGTCTGATGAACCTTTGAATACAAAACAAGCTTACTTCCATATTTTGTAATTCTGATTTTAGATTACTAGCGAGGACCGGCTACTTCTCGAGCGGAAGTTAGAAATTTTACGAATTAAAAACTTTTTGATGAGGTATCAAATCAAAGATTCAAAATACTAATCTTTACAAACTTTAGTTATCACAATAGAAATATAGGCATTGCAATGATCATACTAACATTGTACGACAAAATTCTTTTTTTTTTTTTCAAAAAATTATGACAATAGAGCTTAAAACGTGAGACTTTTAGTGAAATTTTGTGAAAAAATATTTCATCCTTCGATACTGTTTTTCTAGAGCTAATTTTCTTATTTCTCTCACACATCAACTTCATTTTTTATACCCCACACCACACTGTGGTCAGGATATTATGTCTCTGTACATTTATTTGTAACATAGAGAAGGAAGCGTGATAGACCCAAAGTTCCTGTTGATGATCTGCCTAGAATCACATTCTGAGTCGATTTATGCATGTCCTGCCTTCCACCCGTGCGTTCATGCATAATCGGTCAAAATTTAGATAAAACTCCCAGATATATCTTCGTCCCATTTGCATTTTATTATGCACCAAATGTGTCATGTCATTTCTAAGGCACTCGTCCGACAATGTTAAAGCAGCTTATTATATTGTTTACAAGCATACAAAAGCATTTTGGTGAGAATATTCCAGAAAAAAAAAATTGAAAAGTGTGATTTCTTTATATTTGGCTGTAAAACCAGAAATGGCTATCGGATAAGCCCTCCGGCATTTAAATGTGTCACCTACACCTTTTGTGTCACCTACAATCGATCTTTAACGTAATACTGGTAGCGTAGGCCGACGTCAAGGAATTGGACGGAAGAAAACTGCAACATTAGCAGAAATGGTTCGAAAAGTAAAGAAGCGACTTGATCGAAACCGGCGTCGCAATGGCCGAAAAATGACTGGCGAGCTGAATATATCGAAATATTTCATTCGGCAAATATTGAAAAATGGCCTGCAATTGGCAATTGAAATTCCAAAAAGTTCAAGAACTTACACCGCAACAGAAAGAAAATAGATTCAAAAGAGCTAAAGAGTTGCTTCGCTTGGCCGAAAGTGGTGAACTGCCGAATTCGGTTTTCTCTGATGAGCAAATATTCGTTGTCCAGCAGTTTGTAAACAAACGAAATGATCGTGTTTACTTCCCAAAGAAGTTAGCTGAAAATGTGTAACTTTGGTTGGCCATCAGAATTCAAGCGCCGGCCATGGTGATGGTGTGGGCCGCTATAATAGCAGATGGTCATTCTCCGCTTGTATTGATCGACCGTGGCATCAGAATAATTGCCGAATATTATCGCGAAAATATTCTGGAGTGTGTATTAAAGCCTTGGGCACGCAAGCATTTTGGACGCAGACCTTGGACATTCCAACAGGACTCAGCACCATCGCGCTCAGCACGCGACACCCAAGAATGGTTACATAATGAGGTTTCTCGCTTCATTTCCAGCACACAATGGTCACCAAAATCTCTGGATACCAATCCGTTGGACTATTGTGTCTGGAGTATTTTGGAAAGCAAGGTTGGCACTAAAAAATAGCAAAGTGTCGATCGCCACAAGCAAGCGCTTCGCCGGGAATGGGCCAAAATACCGCAGAGCAACATTCGTTCAGCGTATGATGGTGTGGTTTCATTGGCCGTTGAAAGGCCATAATTCGTGCCAAAGGTGTCCAATTCGAAAAAATCTGAACTAATTCTAAAATTCGATGTTATTTTCGACATTTTTTGCTTTCATTAAATAAAATTTACAAAAAATTTAAAAATTATGTAATTTTACTTTGTTGCAGTCTTTTTATCTCACCCTGTATGTAATATTTGGTGATAATCAGCTCAGATATAGCTATAGCTTCCATATATTTTGTCCATCCGATTTGTTAAATTTGTCCTCCACAGCCATTATATGCACTCCGTAACAACGATATTCGGAGAAATACAGATACAAACATAGCTCGGTTCAGATTTAGATATAGCTTCCATATCTTCATCCGATTTCAAGATTATTGTGCACCACATGGTTAGTTAGTCACGAATAGAAGGAATTTCGTCACATACGACTGAATATAACCGAAATAAAAAAAGTGTGTCAAATTTGATGAAAATCCGTTCAGATATAGTTATAGCTTCCCAAGTTCCCAACATTCGTAATATGTACCCCACAAGAATGACGTTTGATATCAGATATCAGATATAACTCAGAAATACCTCTGCCAAACTGTATAAAGATCGGTTCCGATTTGGATATAGCTCTCATATATATATTCAACCGATTAGGAGTTAATTGTTCACCAAATGACCAATATCAGCCCAAATTACCTGAATTTTGGTACATCCTACCAAATTTAGTTTGGAAGCAAGATATAGCTCCCATATATGTGTTTCATTCGATTTGGGATTTTAAGTCCTTCACATGCGTAATATGCACTCCACAAGAATGACATTTGGTACGAAATATCAGATACTGTCCAAAAATACACCTGCCAAATTGTATAAAGATCAGTTCAGATTTGGATATAGCTCTCATATATACCTTCAACTGATTTGGGGTTAATTGTGCAACGTATGGCGAATATCAGCATAAATTATCTGAATTTTGGCACATCTGACCGAATTCAGACTGGAAGCAAGTACATCGAATTTGGTGAAAACCGGTTCAGATATATCTATAGCTCTCATATATATGTTCCACCCGATTTGGTGGTCCAGCCCACATGAATGATATTTGGTACCAGATATCTTATATAGCTCGGAAATTTTATCAAGATCGGCTCAGATTTGGATATAGCTCCCATATATATCTTCAACCGATTTTGTTAATTGTTAAATAATGGCTAATATCATCCCAAATGGAGTGAATTTCGGGACATACGTTTCCATTTTGTAGAACTCGGCTCCGATACATATTTTTTTAGTAAAATGCTTCTGGAAGTGATATCATGCATTTTATGGCAAATCTTTTTTGTATAAAAGATTAAAATGTCTCCGTCAAATGTGGTGATTCGATTCAAAATTGGATTTGCCTCCCATATATTAGTTCCCTCTGAAACCAAACTATAACCGCTCTAAAGCTAAATGTTGATAGGTGGTATGAGCTACTTCAAATAAATTCTTTTGTTACGGAAGCTCTACTATAGTACTACTATAGTCGACTTCGCCAGACTTTTGACTTTTCCTAGTATTCAAAAATGCTAGCATTCTTCCCTGTTCTTAATTCTCTTCAATTGTTTTGAGCAGGATTTGTTTCTGTTTTTGGTTCATTTGAACCCCTAAATATTTTGCAATCAACTCCAAAAGCAAGAAGTCCTTCTGTATCACCAAATTTAAACTCATCTATATGATTTGCTTGTCTACGATATCTGACGTTATTCATCGACGAAATCACCATAAAAAAGCCAGAAGTTCACTTTTGTGTATTTCGGATATCGCCTGTTAGGGTATAAAAATATGCCTTTGATTATTAGTAGTAAAGTTTTACGGATAATATTTTTATATTTGACGTCATCGCCCCTAAATTAATCTGTTACGGATCTATTTTACATTAGACTTAAAACTTGTTTTTATACCCTACAACACTATGTGTTGGGGGTATTATAAGTTTGATTCAACAATTATGTAACACCTCCAAATATTGGTTTCCCACATAGGAAAGTATATATGGACCTACCTATCTCGCCGAGCTGAGTCGATCTAGCTATGTATGTCCGTCCGTCTGTCCATCTTAATTTGTAATCACTCTACAGGTCGCAATTATGGCCCGATCGTCACGAAATTTAGTACGGAGGTGGGTTAAGGTAGAACCCTATTTATTTGCAGATGGTCGCATAATATTTAGGGGTCGGAATGGACCAAAAACTGAAAAAAATCCTGATCTTGCAGTTGCTCTGCAGGTCGCAATAATGGACCAATCGACGCGGAAATTAGCACTGGGCTTGAGCTTAAATCTGGGCAGAAGCTTTGATGGTCATCGGTCAATATTTAGTGGGTGAATTAAATTATAACATTTGTGTTAAAAAAGTCAAATTTTGCATTAAACCGCGAATATTTTTAGTCCCGGCGAAATCACAAAAAGACGAACATGTCAATTCTGACCGTTACGTAGATGCCGATAGTAAATATATCGGATATATATAGCGAAATATATACAATGTGTATAAACAAAGGAAGGGAATGTTAGCTGAAATACTTATATCTCAAGAATGGCTGGATCGATTTTGACAAATTTTGTCAATTCGGAATGCCCTCCTGGAATAAAAGAATAAAATCGTCTAAAAATATGCCAATAATAATGTTTATACAGATTTCGTAGTATTTTGTGAATTTTTTTTTTTTATTTTTTATCGCATGCAATTTTTATACCCCTCAACACTATGTGTTGGGGGTATTATAAGTTTGATTGGGCCAAAAATTATGTAACACCTCGAAATATTGATTTCCCACATAGGAAAGTATATATGGATCTTCCTATCTCGCCGAGCTGAGTCGATCTAGCTATGTATGTCCGTCCGTCCGTCCGTCCGTCCGTCCGTCTGTCCATGTTAATTTGTAATCACTCTACAGGTCGCAATTATGGCCCGATCTTCACGAAATTTAGAATGGAGGGATAGGGTCAGAATAGCACCCTATTTCTTTTGGAGATGATCGCATAATATCTAGGGGTTGAAATGGACCAGAAACTGAAAAAGTTCCTGATTTTGCAGTTGCTCTACAGGTCGCAATTATAGACCAATCAAAGCGGAAGCTAGCATGGGGCTAGAGCTTAGGGCTGGGCAGAAGCCTTCCAATTTTGATGGTCATCGGGTAATATTTAGTGGGTGAAATAGACATAACATTTCAGTTTAATAAAAGTCAAATTTTCCATTAAACCGCGAATATTTTTAATCCCGGCGAAATCACAAATAGACGAACAGGTTAATTTTGACCGTTACGTAGATGCCGATAGTAAATATATCTGATATATATAGCCAAATATATACAATGTGTATATACAAAGGAAGGGGATGTTAACTAGAATGCTTATATCTCAAAAATGGCTGGACCGATTTTGACAAATTTTGTCAATTCAGAATGCCCTCTTGGCATAAAAGTATAAAATCTAAAAAAATCGCATAAAAAGATGTCAGTAATGATGTTAAGATAGGTTTTGTAGTATTTTGTGAATTTTTTTTCCTCTTTTTGAAGTGTATATTTTGCAATGTTTTTTCAACTTACAACACAGGTTGGGGATATTGTATAAGTATTGCAAATATCGTCCGATCCTCAAGAAAATTTTCACAAGGGTAGGGTTGGGATCAGAAGCGCTAGCCCTATTGTTTTTAAATATGTCCGCAATATATTAGGGGTTGAAATGGACCAACAACTAAAATTTTTCCTGATTTTGCAGCCGTTATAAAGGTCACAAATAGAAACCAAAGGACACGAAATCTCGCATAAAGTCAGAGTTTAGGACAGCGTGTACAATGGACCATTAATTTTGTGTGAAAAAATACCAGCATTACTTACAGGCGATATCCGAAATACACAAAAGGCGAACTTCTGGCTTTTTTATGCTGATTTCGTTGACGAATTTAGCCAAATATCTTAGACAAGCAAATCATATAGATGAGTCTAAATTTGGAGATTTCAAAAGCGAAATGGACATAAGGGGGCTTCTAACATATTGTAGTGTTGTAGGGTATAACATAGTCGGCCCCGCACGACAATAGCCTTTGCTTACTTGTTTCAATTTGACTTATAATATTGAGGTGTACATTTTGTAAAATTTTTGCACTTCACAACACAGGTTGGGTAGGGTAGGGTAAGGCTCAGGTAGGGTAAGGCTCACAAGGGTAGGGTAAGGCTCAGAAGGGATAGACCTATTAGTTTTAAAGATATCCGCAATACATTTGGAGGTTGATATGGACCAACAACTAAAAATGTTCCTGACTTTGCAGCCGTTATAAAGGTCACAAATTGAAACCAAAGGACAAAAAATCTCGCATGAAGTTCGAGATTAGGACAGCAAGTAGAATGGACCACTACTTTTGTTTGAAAAAAGCATTACTTACAGGCGATATCCGAAATACACAAGAGGTGAACTTCTGGCTTTTTTATGCTGATTTCGTTATTGGGCAAATATCCCTGATCAGGTTAGTGCTCCGTGACATAATTTCAAAAGAGAAATCTTCCAAAATCGATCTGAATATAAGGGGGCTTCTAACATATTGTAGTGTTGTAGGGTATCACATGGTCGGCCCCGCAAGACCGTGTTTTTTTGTATTTTTTTGAGACTTAGGTAACATTTTATGATAAACAATTTTTACGAAAACATATAATTGAAGTTTTTATACAGTTTCTTAAAAAAAATACCTTAAACGTCCATTTAATGTATCGACTGAGGGTTGATTTGTCTTTCAAAAATCTCTCTGATGACCAACACCAATAATGAGAATTTTAGTTTTTAGCTCCAAAAACACAGATTTTAGTGCCTTTTAGAAGTTTCTGATATCAATTTTAAAACTTTTACAATTGTCTTAAGTTTTTCTTACTGAATTATGTGTCTTGCGCCTTAAGATATGCAATAAAATTCCACTTGAATTTAATTTGAAAATAAATTTTATTACATTTGTATTGTAACATTACACAATTAGCGTAGGCCATAAAACTTAACAAATATCAATAAAAATTAATCTAAAAGCCAACAATTGTATGTATTATTTTCAGAAAGTAGATTTTCGCGTTCTGAATGTAAAAAAATAAATGTTTAAAAGCAATATCACATTCATACAATATTACATGCACACAATGCTCTTCCATGATGATCACACACATATCATTACACTTACAGAGAAACATATAACAGCTATAGATTCTTCTATTGAAAAATAAAATAGAGTGAGAAGTCCTTGAAACGAAACTCTTAATTTAATATCTCATTAAATTTCTGTTTTCATCGATTCTTCCTCCTTTTGCACCATTTCCATTTCATCATCCTTCACCTCATCATCGAATATCTTCAGATCTTTGACATAATACCAGACACCGCAATCGAAGATGGCACCGATTGCTATAAATACTGCAGCTGTCATATTTAGTATATATCTGAGAGAAACATGTTAATTAGTAAGATATTACTAAATTATAGAGTGCTCCGATATTACCTCAGCGACTCGGGATCGTATAGCCAACAGTTACCCTTGTTCGTGCACGTTTTACCCCACACCAAACACAGCCGATCCAGCACCCAACCAAAGAATATGGGGCTGGGTATAAAGGCCAACATGGACATCATCATCATGCCAAAACCCATGGCCGCAGTTTTATCCTTCTCCGGCACACATCTAACTGTGACCAAGAAATTCGAAGCCCTACCCGTGGCACCAATGAATTTCAAGCCGCACATAACCGCCAAAAATGTTACAAATTGTGTGAAACAATTGACTGGACATGCTCCCGAAATGGCTTGTCCACCATCGCCCAGATAACGCTGGTAAGTGAAAGAAAATATGTTAAATCTTTTATTTAAGATTTTTTTTTAATTTTTACTACTTACATCATCAAAAGAATTTGTTAAAGCTGTCAGAGACGGTGCTGCTGTGGTAAACTTGAAATCCATATCATCTGTTAAGTTGATCGATGTTAAACGTTCGAATGCCGGATTTAGATTGAGGGTCGTATTAACAGTTGGAATACAGGAACAGTCGTAGAAAAACTATAAAGAAATTATTTAATATATTTTTTTGGCTTTTAATTTTTTTTTTTGTTGTTACTTTTTATAAAAAGGTTTAAAAAGTAAAAAAATATAGATTTTTTATAGTGTAGATTTTACAATTTCTATAAGAAATATATCGCTAATTTGTGCATTTGTGCAAGTGTCTTTACTCAAAAATGTCGATTTTAATGAAAACGAATTGAATATAATTCTTAAAATATTAAAAATAAGTTTTGCCACACATCAAATAAATATTCGCTAAATGAATAAGTTGTCAAGAGATTTTCACAAATTATGAAACAGAACATTGGTTACGTCTTTTACCCTCCACCATATCATTTAATTTATCATATATTCGTGATCTGTATAAAATTGTAAGTCTCTTTAACGATATCCGTCCGTCTGATAAAATCAAAATTTATTAAATATGCATAGGCATTTTTGGCAATCCTAAGATGTTAGGTATTGAAAATGGACTATACCAGTCGACAATTTTCGGCAATTCAAAACATTCCAACAACAATTACCAATTTTTTTTTTAATTCGGGGAATCCGTTTCTCATAAAATCCTTGTTTGTCCATCATAGTGTCACACCTTCCAGTAGATGGGACTGTTACTTGGTTTTTTTTTAATCTTGAACATAATAAAATGTACTTCCCCCAAAACATTTTTTATCCCCTCAGTCATATGGCTGGAGAGGGTATATATCATTTGATACGGCCAAAAGTGCCTCATCGAAATAACAGGTTTAGACCTTACCTCACAGAACAAGAACAACAAGATATCCAAATATTTGTATCTGTGCTAGGTTAGGTGCAAAAATAGACTGACTCCTTCTAGTGCCTCCCTCACAAAAATCCAATATTGTAAATAATCTCAACGCTTATAAATTGTGAAATATGAGTCCGATTGTCTTAAAATTTTGAATATCCCAATATTTCTAACAACTCTAGGTCTGCCATGTTGATGAGATAGGTGGGACCGCTCCCTCTGGTACCTCACCCACAAGTGGTAAAAATTTTGAATACAGGGTTGCCCATATTCGACGGACCCATCTGGCAACGCCATAACTTTTGACAGAGATGTCACATCGCTTAATGACATACCGCGTTTGAAGCGTCAGTCAACAGAAGAAGTCAATTGTGAAAACTCAACGTGCTTTTAAAACATTAAAAAATGTGAGAAGTGCGCCTTCTAAAAACACCATTAAGCGTTTATACGTAAAATGTTCGGCTGGTAAGGCTCTTTCTAATCCGAAGAGGCCATATTAATGTCAACCAAGGCGATCGGCCGAGAATATCGCTGCCGTACGAGCCAGTGTTGAGAGGTCCCCAAGAACATCCCAAAAACGTCGTTCTCAGCAGTTGGGCATTGCTCGGTCCACTTTACAACGGATTTATCGCATTGATTTGCATTTGTTCCCATACAAAATTCAATTGACGCAAAGAATGTTGCCTGCGGACAAGCTTCGTCGATTGGAATGGGCCCAAAGGTCCGTCGAATATGGGCAACCCTGTACTTATATCTCTTATGAAACACGATACAACCATCCAATTCTCTTAAAATTTCACAAATATAAATATTTTTCGTAACACAAGATCTGGCGTGAAGGTGCGATGTATCGGCTCACTCCTTCTGGTACCTCCCCCACAAACGGTCATCTGTCGGCAAAACTGGTAGATACTGTAAGGTATCATGAAGTCGGCGAATTTTAGCCTTTTTACCAGTTTTTATTGGAAAACTTTTGAAAATTTTCTGGGCGCAGTCTCCGTAAGTTACGACAACTTTTGGGTGATTGGTGTGAAATTTAATAAGGAAATTTAGAAAATTTATGAGTTCCAAAAACTTCGTATGCTACGAAATATATATATATATATATATATATATATATATATATATATATATATATATATATATATATATATATATATATATATATATATATACATATATATATATGTGTGTGTGTGTGTGTGTATTAGCCGGAAAATATTGTCCGATGACCTAACAAAATGGTAGGCCCCTGCCCGGCAATAAACTCAAGTCCATGCCAAATTCCGCGTTTTAGGCCAATTTCTATAGATTTCTATTCTGACCTTAATCCCACCTCCATTCCAAATTGCGTAAGGATCGGCCATAATTGCGACATGACATATTGACAAATATAACTATATCGGCTCAGCTAGAAAAGATAGGTAGACCCATATGTGAAGAATAAATATTTCAAGGTGTTACAAAATTTCTGGCCCAATCAAACTTATAGTGCCTAGGTATAAACACATTGCCAATACTAAGTCTTACCTTTTTACCCGTTTTACTGATATACTGTTTCTTGCAGCCAGCATGACAAGGAGAAATGTAGGTCATATTATTTTCACCACACACAGGTGAATAGCGTACATAGTCACAGCCGCAGTCTGAATTGCATGTAGGTGTGGCATCGAGAGCTCTTTGGAAAAAATAAAAATTAAATTTTTATTTTATTCTTTAAAAAAAAAAATACATTTCGCTTACTTATCATGAATATTGACCACCACGGACTGTTCGTTGCCAGGACAGCCAATGAAAGCATACGAGACAATACCGACCACTGTTAGGAAACCAACTATGACATTCCAAGCTGCCATGTAACGGGCACTGGGCTTATATTTCGATATGACAAATCCTGAAAGTAAGACACCTATGGCGGAAAAGGCCAGGGCCACGGTACCGGTAACCATGCTATCAATGAAAAACAAAATTTCTTAATTATTTAAAAAATATATTAATATATTTTTTTGGAAATATACCTTGATGTTGAGGCCGATTGCCGATATTGAATTTCAATATATTTTGGTGCAAATATCCAATAGGGTGTGTAACCAAATAAATAAAATACCGAAGAGAAATTGTTGTACATCAACGTTTTGTTGGTGGTCAGACGTTTAAAGGTCTTCATCATATCTTTGAATGAGGCCTTGTGCTCTACGGGTGGTTTCTCCACCAACTGTTCGCTAAGTATATCTTTCTCATTCTTTGATTTGTCTTTGATGGAGAGTCGTTGTTTTCGCCGTTCTTCTTCAACCATTCGTCTTGCCACCGCTCTGGGCAAATCTTTGGGGAACATTGTTAGTAAAATTCCGGACAAAAATATCATGGCACCAATTATAAGCCAGCCCATCCACCATGCACCCAACCAACGTGGATCTTTCATTTTTATAACTGGATGTAGCTGGGGAGCAATATAAATCCTTAGGCACAGTGAGGCCAAGGCATAACCAATTGCAGGACCCAACATTCGCAAAAAGTAGGACAAACCTGAAATAAGTAACACACACACATACATACATCATTTCATAGACAAATTAGTTCATCACCTTCAGACACTAATTTCCTCTTCGCTATCTCAATGATCTACTGCAATTCAAACTTATCTCAAAACTTAATTATGTTTGCGCTGTGAGATAATTTTGTACCGCATCTATGGCAATTTCATTAATCTCTTTGTATTTCGTTTTTTTTATTGTCCTACTTACTTAATAAAGCTGGCGTCTTAGATTTCTTGATGTTATCATCCATATATGACACTCCGAGGGTGTAATATAATGAACCTCCGATACCCGATATAAACTGCGCTGTAAACAACACAACCTGTGGTGCAAAATTTCCCTCACCCGCCTCACATTCAGTAGCACCATTTAAACGGCACAGCGTCTTTGAGCGTTGTTCTCGAATGGCTTCGATTGTTGCATTCTCGTCGGGTGTTGCACCGAATTCTTTTGTTAAGGCCAATGCATCATCACCGGGGCCATAGAGGAAGTGCGGCGCTGCCGTTAAAAGGCAAAATAATACAATTGTAAGAAGACCTATTGGAAAAATAAAACAATGCGTTAGACACTTTTTTTCATTAAAAAAAAATTAATGTTTTCATTTTACCAAAGCCAATCCATCTCGGTCGATGTCCCTTGCCGGCATAATAACTTAAAACTGCTGATACCAACATCTGACTGATGTCATTGCCTACGGATATAAGGCCAGTATTTTTCGATGGTATTTTAAAGCGTTTCTCTATCGTTGTTATCGTTCCATTGAAATAGGCATAGGTCATTGAGAATATACAGCCCACTAAACCGTACAATATGACATATGATGTTTGGTTGGCAAATCTGAAAATAAAGATTGAAATTGAAAAAAAAAAAAAAAAAAAAAAACATTAAAGTTTTGAAGCAGGGATGCTCAAAACAAAAAATGATTGTGTATTGGTGCGAGAGAGTGAACGTCCACTCAAAGAAATTTCATGAGTTGTTGGCGCCAACTAATGCATAATGATATTATTATTATTATTACAGTGTACTAGCATATTATGGGGGGAAATGTTTTGTTTTGTATAAATACAAATATATAAATTTAATTTTAATTCAACTAAAAACATAAATAACACATTAAATTAAATTAAAAAAAAAAAAAAAAACAATTCACTGATTAATTTAAAAATAATCGATACAAAGTAGTTAAATAAAAAATGGGTATTGAAGACTTTTGAAGCAGGGAACACTTAATAAAAATATTAATATTTACATTTAAAAAATTGTTAAAATGACGTCTCAATACGTCATATTTTTTATTTTGCCACATAAAATGCATTGAATATTATCAAAAGCATTTTTAGCCATAAAATATGATTGTAGCATTCTGGCATGTAGTTAAGCTGAAATAAAATAATGCAAATGAAACTATTGTTTCGCTAAGTGCATCAACGGTAGCAATGCGTGCAGCCACACACGTCTTCATTCGTCGGTGTCTCATCGACGACTGATTCTTATTCTCATTGCGAGTTCGTGGTGGTTTGTTTATACTTTTTCGTCCGAGGCTGCCCATAGCTGTTTTGAAGACAAATACATTTCGAATATATCCTTAGTGGGTTAATATATTTTGAGCTAAAATATTTTGAAAATTTCTTGCTTATGATGAAAGCATTATTTCAATATGTTTCTACCCTACAACAACACTATGTAGTGAGAGTATATGAAATTGGACCACAAAGTGTGTAACACCTCGAAATATTGGGAATCGATACGAACCGAAATTCGTAAAAATTGTTTTTATACCTTCCACCTTGAAAAGGAGGGTATATTAACTTTGTCATTCCGTTTGTAACATCCATATATATTCGTCGTAGACCTCATAAAGTATATATATTCATAATCAGCATAAAATTCTAAGTCGATTTAACGATGTCCATCTGTCTGTTCATCTGTCTGTCTGTTGAAATCACGATACAGCCCACATTATTCGATGTAGTGCGCCAAAATTTAGCAGAGCTATTTGTATTGTGTCTAGGATGGTTGGTACTGAAAATGAAATATATCGGTCCACGTTCTGGTATAGTCCCCATATAACGGTACCTCCCGATATTCGGTATTTTGATTATTTATGCTACATTCTTTTACGGATTTGTTTGAAAATTGATACTTGTAGGTCATAATGGGTCCCTGTGCGTGTGGCAAAACATTGCATGTATGGGTCCACGTTTTGGTATAGCCCCCATATAACGGTACCTCCCAATATTCGGTATTTTGATGGTTTTTGCCACATTTTTTCACGGATTTGTCTAAAAGTTGGTATTTGTGGGTCATAATGGGTTCTAGTTCGTGTGGCGGAACATTGTATGTATAGGTCCACGTATTGATATAGTCCCCACATAACGGTACCTCCCAATATTCGGTATTTTTATGATTTTTGACACATTGTTTCAAGAATTACTCTGAAAATATGTTGTTGTAGATCCTAATGGGTCCCAGTTCGTGTGGCGAGTCATTGTAATTATAGTTCCACGTTTTGGTATAGCCCCCATATAACGGTACCTCCCGACATTCGGTAATTTGATGATTTTTGCCACATTTTTTCACGGATTTGTCTGAAAATTGGTATTTGTAGCCATAATGGGTTCTAGCTCCGTTGGCGAAACATTGTATGTATAGCCCCCATATAACGATACCTCCCGATATTCGACATTTTGATGGTTTTCGCCACATTTCTTCTAATATTTCCTTTACCCTAAGGTGGAGGGTATTAAAAGTTTAGCCCGGCCGAACTTAATGTTTTTTTTACTTGTTTTTTTTTTTTGTACTAGTGTGAGGTACTGAGCTTCAAATGTTCATCTTAATGGGTAAAGGTAATATGGTCGAAGCTTTGCCCAGTTTAAATCGGATATATATCGGAGAAATATCTGATTTTTTTAATAATATCAACCGAAATTTATGTGTTTTACACCGTCTTCGTATAGCCCACATATAACGGTACCTCTTAATATTTGGTATTTTAAAGATTCAAGCGGCATTATTCATTGGATTTTTTTCAAATTTCGTATTTGAACTTCCTAAAGGTGTACTACTTTCTATGATGTCTTCGTAAAGCTCCCATATAATGATACCTCCCTATATTTGGTATTTATACGATTTTAGCCACATTATTCGTCGGATTTTTTCAAATTTCGTACTTAAAAGTCTTCATAAGTGCTACATGCTATGTCAAAAAAATGCGCATGGCCTTTGCGAAGACGTGGGCCTCCGTAAAGGCACCATATAACGGCACCTTCCTTTATTCGGTATTTTGATTATTTCAGCGACATTATCCACCGGAATTATTTCAAATTTCGTATTTGAAGTTGTTAATGGGTACTGCAGCATATGACAAAAATTGTGCATACCGATACCTGCAGATATTCGGTATTTTGATAATTTAGTGACATTATTCACCGGAATTGTTTCAAGCTGGAATCGGTACTACATCCTATGGCGCAAAATTACCTATGCTGGTCCAAATCATCGTATATTTCACATATATCGGTTTTATTTAAGTTGTATTTTTGTAAAATTTCAAGTTCCTTCCAAACTATGGAGGATATTATTATTATGCCCTACATCACACAGTGGTCAGGGTATTATGTCTTTGTGCATGTGATTTGTGATAATAGCTCCTTTTGCGGATCTTCAAAGAATCACATTTTGAGTCAATTTTGCATGTCCATGCTTTCGTCCGTCTGCCACGTATGTTTTTTTAAACAAAGTACAAGTCGCATTTATTGCCCGGTCGAGATGAAATTTCACACGAATAAGTTTTTTGGCCCATGAAGGAACCCTATTGAAATTGGAGAAAATCGGGTAAAATTTAGATATAGCTCCCATATATCTCTTCGTCAGATTTACGCCAAATGTGTAGTAGGAGAGCTACCAATGGAATAGAATAATTTTGTCACATCGTTTTAGATGTTTAAATTGTTTATCCTTTCATATCAGATTTTGTTTTGGTAAAAATATTGTGAATTTTGTTAGCGTTTTGGTTGTTCAAAATTTTGGCCCATTGGGGGGTGCTCCATCATTTTAATGATAAAAATATTGTTATGTGTGATATTTGAAGAGAATCTGTAATATATTTCGCATTTGATGAGCGTCTTACATATTCCGAATTCGGACCCTTTGTGGGGGAGGTATTAGAAGGAGTAGCCCGAAATTGTCCATTCTCGCACCCGGTCTTGCAAAATAAGATTATCCGTTCTCTTCCTATGCGGTAAATTGTTGTATATGAAAATGTTCACCTTTTGTGGGAATGCGGTCTAATTTGACAAAAATATTACGATGTACCGAGTTTGGACCAAATCCGATACTCCCTTCGAGAGTTATCGTGCGCATCAGCCAGACAGACGGACGGACATCGCTAATTGGACTCCAAATGTCCTGAAACCGATTTGGTCCAAAGAGACCTAGGTCTAAAACCATTATTTCGACTAGTCACCTTTTGGCCGAATCAAATGATATACGTATATATTAACTAGCTATATGACTAAGGTACATCAAACCTAATTTGGTCTTTCGGAAGGAACAGAAAATTCATATTTTTCCAAATGAAAGTTCGGCACTTCATTTTCCTATTTAAAACTTCTTACATTCTCTGGACCGAAAATGGTAGAAGGAGGTGGTGATGCATACAATATTTATTTTAAGGACGAACGCCATTCACGAGTTTATAGATAAGCCTATGCGCCAAAAACCAATATTTTTTTTTAATTTTGGAGTATCGAATTTTTAGAAAATATAACAGGTCTCCATCCAAATATTCAGCACGTTATAGCTCAAGTGTTTGATTCATGGCTATAACTCTTCAAAGAAATATTTCAACCTACATTCTCCATTTGGCTGCATAGTGTGATTAGAGCACATTTGCGCCATAAGGACACATAAAAAGCTCTCATTTATAATTTCTTAATTTTGGCTTACCTCTGCAAGAATTTTCCCTTTAATATCCAAAAACCACAGGTCATGTCATCCGTTAGCGGCGTATCACGCAGCCATTTGTTAATTTCCTCTGTTGTATTACGATCTAATTCGGATTTTTCGTTTTTCTTAAGACCATTTTTGGGTGCTGTTCCATTTTGTGGAACTTTAAGCAAACGTGCCTCCACATCTATAACATCACGATCATCGGCGGGTTCACTTACGCGATTGTCATTAGTGTCACCTTTGTACGATGAATTCTCTTCAATTTCCACCATTTTGTTTAGACAACTTATTGTTTGTTTCCTAACAATTTCAGTTCTTCCGTTATTTTTCGAAGGACATTGGCAATTCAATTGTTATTATTGTTCTTTCAAGTGACACATTGACTTAACTTTTGACCAGTTCTTAACACTTTCTACACAAATACACTCGCGTGTTACGGGTCTGGAGGTTCTCACTATATATTTATCCGATACTATGTGACTACGCTCGAGGCCAGTCACCACAGAAGTGTTATTTTTAAAAGCGTTGTCGTTAATAATCACTCCTCGCTCGATCGCTGCTGAAAACGCGTCAAAGATTAACAGTGGCAAGATCTATCTGGTCTTTGGAAGATAGTCTTCTCTGTTATCAGAGTATCTTCTTATTATATTACAACTTGTCATTTTTAGCTATTCAAATAAAGTTTCTGCTTTTTTTTTTGTTTGTCACATTAATTTTCTTCAGACACATTCATTTGCTGGGTTGTATATTTCTAGCCGATATAATGATTATCATCGTTTGTGTGTGTGCGTAAGCGTTTATGGAAAAAAGGAAGCGAAAAACGTTTAACGAGCGTGATACTGGCTTTCAGAGATTGAATGTCGTATATAAATTTGAATGAGATGTCATTTGGTTGTCACTGTGTCAGCTCAAGGTATCTGTAACAGAAGGCAAATGACCTCTAAGTACACATTCCAAATCATATAAAACAGGTCAGTTGCAAACGATGTTTTCTTCTTCTTATAAAGTTGGTACTTTTCAGAGTTTTTAATTTTAAAATATTGTTTTTGAAGCAAAGACAAAAAAGAGCTGACAAGAAAAGCACCAAAAATGAAACTAATTTTCTATCATAAACCTTGTATCATCGTCAGACGCATTGGAGGAAATTCGGTTCTTAATATTGGTGCACAATTGGAAAATCATAATTTATTTTTTATGAAACTATAATCGGAGTCACATATTGCCAGGTATCAATAAATAATGTATGTATGCAAAATAAGCTCCAAACTTGGTATACTAGAAAATATCTGTTTAAGATGAAAAATGTCGGTCCAACCTTATTGAAAAAAAAAAAATAAATAAATAAAAACTCGAAATTATTTTTTTAAATATTATCATCCATCCTATATGAGTAGTAATTTTTTTTTAAGAATATTTTTACCATGCCTTCTTCAAAAAATTAGTGGTTTTCTTAGTAATTTTAATAGACATTATGATGAACAATAATGGATTTTTGTGAAAATATTTGTGAATGACTTCAATAGCGGATTTGATTTTTACAGGTCTTCTCCACTCTTCAGAACAAACAATTGTGTTTTCTTAAAGTTTCTTTTCCAAAATCATATTAGTAGTTTTTTAAACCAGTTTTCAATGAAAAAGGATTAGAAAAATTGTGGAGTGAACAAAATAAGAGTTTTTCAGGGTCCTTCTTATTAAAATTGTGTATTTTCAATAAGAATTTATTTTAAAGAACTTTTTCTAGTGCAGCATCTTAATGTCGAATATTTTCAATGACTTTGGGTCAAGAAATTGTGTATTATATTATATATATTTTTTTAAGACCGCGTTTTAAAAATCTTGGATTAAGAAAAAAAACTTTTCAATGAACATCTAACAAAATCGTATTTTCGGAATTTTTTTTCGGATATTTCGGAATTGCCAAAAAAGTTAAATTTCAAAAAAATGTAAGAATTTCCCTTATCCGGTTAGTCTTTTGAAATGTCTTCTGTTATCCTAAATAAGTTGACATTCAGTGCTTTAAAAATCCCTAAAGTAAGTCTGTTAAATTAATAATGTTTTGCCAAAAAAAAAAATAAAATAAATAAATAAATAATAATAAAATTTAAATGATCAAAAGACGTAGAGTTATTTTGGAGGAATACAATTCCCTAACCAAAAAATTTAACTTGAAGGATATCTCGTTAACTTTCATAGAACTTTGTTAAAAAATTTAAAAATCCTTTATGAAAACTGACCCATTTTTTTAAGAAATATTTTTCAAACATCGGAGTTTCACGAAATCATATAGATGAACCCAAACTCTTTAATAATCGTTTTTAAAAACCCTTAAAACGATACAAAACATAAACTTTAATTTCGGCCGGGCAAAACTTTTAATACCCTCCACCTTAGGGTAAAGGAAACATTAGAGCCTATATACCAATTTTTAGACATATTTATGGGAAAATGTGCCAAAAGTCATCAAAATACCGTATATACAAAAACGTGGACCTATACATACAAAGTTTCGCCAAAAGAGCTAGAACCCATTAAGACCAACAAATACCAATTTCTAGACAAATCCGCGAAGAAATGTGGCAAAAACCATTAAAATACCGAATATCGGAAGGTACCTTTATATGGGGGCTATACCAAAGAGTGGACCTATACATGCAATGTCTCGCTACACGAACTAGGACCCGTTATGACCTACAACTACCAATTTTCAGAGAAATCCGTGAAAAAAAATGTGTCAAAATTCATCAAAATACCGAATATCGGGAGATACCTTTATATGGGGGCTATACCCAATCGTGGACCCACACATGCTTTGTTTCGCCACACGAACTAGAACCCCTTATGACCTACAAATACCAATTTTCAGACAAATCCGTGAAAAAAATGTGTCAAAAATCATCAAAATACAGAATATCGGGAGGTATCGTTATATGGGGACTATACCAAAACGTGGACCGATATATCTCATTTTCAATACCAACCATCCTAGACTCAATACAAATTGCTCTGCTAAATTTTGGCGCTCTACGTCAAATATGTGGGCTGTATCGTGATTTCAACAGACAGACAGACGACTTAGAATTTTATGCTGATTATGAATATATATACTTTATGGGGTCTACGACGAATATTTAAGGATGTTACAAACGGAATGACAATGTTAATATCCCTCCTTTCCAAGGTGGAGGGTATAATAAGGGACAAATGATACATCTTTTAAACTTTTAATACCCTCCGCCATTAGGTAAAGAAAACATATTTATATAAAAGTATCTGAATTCAAATTTGTTCCAATTTAAACTACAAATACCAAAAAGACCGTTTAAATAATTTAGTTGAACTCTAAGTCCAATAATGTGGGCTGTATTATGATTTCAACAGAAAGACAGACAGACGTACATCGTTATATGGACTTAGCATTGTATGCTGATTATTAATATATATATATATATATACTTTTTGGGGTCTGCGGCGAATATCAAGGTTTGTTACAAACGAATGACAAAGTTAATATGCCCTCCTTTTCAAGGAGTTTGGAGAAAACAAGACAGAAAATCCTTTTTTTAGTTTTTTTCCAAGCTGAAATTTTATTTTTTAAAAACACCAAAAAATTTTTATTTTTTAAGAATATTTTAGGGATTTTCTTACCGAAATCCTTCCTATTTTATTTAATAATACTTCGAGAAAGAATTCATGAATCTCACGCTTTTACAAAACCTCTTTACCAAAATATCATGTGTATTCATGAGTTTTAATTTTTCATTATTATTATTATTTTTAATATACGTTTTTATGGATATCCTTGCAAAAAAATATTGACTTTGAAGAAATATATGGCTATGAAACTGTATGCTCAACTCCTGGACCAACCAAGATTTTCAATACGGAAGAATTTTTCAAGTTTAAGTAAAAAATTCTTGTTAAAAATAATTGTGAAACCAGGAACAACGCACTTTTTTATCACAAATTAAAAACAATTTCCTACATCTTTCTCTGCCATAGAAAATGAGATTGAAATTAAGATAACATAGCTTAATTAATGCATATCATGCTGTTATAAAATGGCAAAACATATAACAACTACAACATACAAAAATATATTTTATAACACTTATTTCTATATTGTTCTAAACTTTTGCGGGAAAAACAGTAATATTACGATTACATTTAATAGTTCTAATCTAGTCAAACAGAGCGGGAGGCAGGGCCCGGCAGAAAATCTCCTGCTTCTGTCTTATCACAATCGCAAAAAAAAAAAACAAAAATCCAAAAAAGAGGGAGTCAAAACGCCAAAAGATACCAAATGTATTCGACTGAGTTTAATTTGTTTGAATTGTATTCAGTGTTCAGCGTCATCATCAGCTTCGTATTCGTCGTCAGCTCGATGTTTGTAAATTGGATTTGAGATTTGTTTGTCTTCTGGCTTCGCATGTTGATCCCATTGAGAATTATTTACAATCAACACATATTTACGGTCCCAGATGACAAACATGAAACGTGAGGGCAGTCCATCACATGGAACAGAAAGTACACAGAGATCATCTTCTCAGGGGATCAAACTAAATATTTGCAATAGAAATTGCCCGACAAACAAAAGGTCTAGCTACTTTGTTCTCTGGTGTCGTGAAAAATAGAATATTTATAGATTACAAAGAAATTACAGTAAAAAAAATATTTTTTCTTTAAACTCTCCGCCCATAAATATTTGAAAGGTGAGGGGTATTATCAAAATTATTTAATTTTCCTTGTTTTTTTGACCCATAATTAGGTTACTAGTAAAAATTCTTAGGAAGGTAGTTGTGCCGCTTAATATTGCCTTAGTAGACAAAAACCCAAAATTGATAGTTTGAGGAAGTAACGAAGGAGAATCACAGAGAGTACCATTCAGATAGCCACATGTACTTTATAACATGACTGAATAATCACAAAAAGGCCTAAAATAGATTTTGCGATTTCTAGACTTTGATCTTATATTTACACTTTTGGGTATTAGAATTGACTTTTTGAGGGGTAAGCGCCAGAAAAAAACATATACAGGGTGAGATGAAAAAACTGCAACCAACTTCAGACTGCTGTCATTTCTAAGCCACTCGTCCGCCTGCTGTTAATATAATTCCAGTGGCAGCCCATTAAATTTTTTTAAAAGCGCACAAAAACATTTTGGTAAGAATTCTTCGGAATAAAATTATTCGTTATGAAATTCAGGCGCGATAGTGCGATTTCTCTATATTTGGCTGGAAAACCACAAGTGGCTATTGTAAGAACATTGCAGCAATTAATAGTGATACTGGTAGCGTAGCCCGACGTCAAGGATGTGGACGGAAGAAAAAATCAACATCAGCAGAAATGGTTCGAAAAGTGCAGAAGCGATAATGCCCCAACACATAGTGTTGTAGGGTATAAAATTAACAAAACATTTCACAAAATCGATTTTATTATACCCTACAACACTATGTTTTGGGGTGTTATAAGTTTGATTGGGCCAAAAATTATATAAAACCTCGAAATATTGGTTTCTCACATAGGAAAGTATATATGGTTCTTCCTATCTCGCAGAGCTGAGTCGATCCAGCTATGTATGTCCGTCCATCCGTCTGTCCATGTTAATTTGTAATCACTCTACAGGTCGCAATTATGGCCCAATCCTCACGAAATTGAAAATGGAGATGTGGAAATAGAACCCTATTTTTTTGCAGAAGATCTCATAATATTTAGGGGTTTGAAATGGACCAAAAACTGAA